GTTTAGATGTTTGTTGTACGCCACCCAGAGTCACGTGATTGTGAGATGAGCAGCTATCTAAATATGAATAAATGAATAAAATCTTCTTGATTCTCTTCCTCCCATCTCTGCCCCCATTTGTTGTCACAATCACACATACAATTACTAATGCCCTTGGGGTTAATCTGCCTGAAATCAAGTCCCTCCTCAGGTAAAAGCATTGACAGATCTGGTTTACGTATTATATTAAGGCAGGTGGTTTCCTTGTGGTATGAAATGCTGCTATTTTGAACTCGAAATTGTGGTGTACAGCTTAGCACAACAAGTGAAACCAGCATAATGTCATGGTTCCAAGTAACACCCCGGATGAAATAAGACTCCGGAAGAATGCAAAAGATGGCTTCCAGGCCTGACGCTTAGATTTACTTGTTAACCTTATATTGCAGCTGACATTAGATGCAATGTCTTTTGTCTGGTGCCTGAGACTTAAAATTTTAGTAGTATATTGCATATAATCAAAAACAGTGGCTTAGAGACCTGTTTCATTTTTGCCACATGAAGGAAAATCTTGCTTAAGCTATTACCATCTGTTTATTTAGATTAAAAATCCCTTGGAAGACCATATATAGTCTCGTGCTCCAGAGAGGTTCCTGCATTTTACTAAAGCTTGTTACCTGTTGTCTTTTCTTGGTATGAAAACAAAAATGTGACTTTTAAAATGATGTGTTCTTCACTTCCACTCACACTGCATTTAAAGTAAGACTCTAAAAATGGTCCTTTCTCACTATGACACAGAGAGGCTGGTACTCATGGTTATTATTGCTTTTGTCTCCAGAGCAAGTTAACGAACTGGTTGCTTTGATTCCATATCATGATCAAAGATTAAAACCTCAAAGAACGTAAGTATATAGGAATAATTAATTCCTTTTCTTGTGTAACATATATAATTTGAATGGGCATGAAACAAATGAATATTCAGCTGAAAAGCGACTTGTACTTCCAACCCCACCTATGTCAGTTGAGAATGCTTGGAAATCATTTTAATCTCTAAAATATCTGGGTGCTTCTGGATTATAATTTAATGTGTTCAGACTACCAATATAATTTGCTATCTTTAGTCTGTTCCTATAATTACCAAGTGAATTCTGGCATCTTAATGGGAGGCAATGTTTCATTTTTTTTCAGTGCAGCTTAGAACATCCCTCCCTCTCTCCCCCCCCCCCCGCTCATTATTATTTTCAGTAGGTTTCAAAGTCTTAGATGTGCATAATGCCCTTGAACAACAAAGAATATTGATTGACATGTCTATGGGGAGAGACAGTTTCATGGACTGAAGTGAGAAGTATTGCTTTTGGGAATGAAATTTCATGAAGGGAATATTTTAGATTATTTCTAAAGTTTCTCAACCTTGGCAACTTTAAGATGTCTGAACTTCAACTCCAAGAATTCCCCAGCTAATGTGCTGGCTGGGATGGGAAATCTGGAAATTGAAGATCAGACTACTTCCTAAGGTTTAAAAACACTGCTTTAATTGAAGCAGACTGAGAACTTGATGATTCTTTGCATGCTACTGGCTTAACAGTTTTCAGTACCCCTTATTATATGTTACATAGACTGGGGCTGTTGAGAACTGGAATTGAGAATTTGGGTTAGGATTTTCATTTTCCTCACTGAAATCTTATTTGAAAATGATCAGTATGAATAGCTAAAGCAGTTTGTAACAGAAAGATTAAAATAGAAAAGGCTTACCTTTAATTTTAAAAAATAAAGTCAGAAATCGATTGAAGTCTTTAGTCATGGCATGGGAAATCTAATTCTTGCTTAAAATTGTATAGGACCCTGTCCCAAATTGTCTTGGGGAACAAAAAGTATTTGACATATTTGCCTATTTTCTGGCTGGGATGAAATATTTTGTTGGGACTTGATTTGCGTCTCCAGAAAAACTAAGATGCTGAGTCTAAGAAAAACTTAGAATGGCTGAGTAGATTCCCCTGTATAATCAACTCATTCTCCAGATCTTATGATGTCTGATATGCAGACTCAGAATTTTGCAAATGGTAAACAATAATACAATGCTGAGATGCATTAATGAATTAAATATTAATGGAGGAGGTCTTCCAGTCCTATCGCTAAATAGAACACGGAATCTTTTGCAATATATAGCAAGATCTGCCCGCAGGACCCGAGCACAGCAAATTGCCTGAACTATTGTCCTTGTCTTCTGCAGGAAGCTCTACGTCTCTGTGTCAGTGTTGCTGTGTCTTCTAGCATCAGGGTTGGTGGTCTTCTTTCTTTTTCCACATTCGGTGCTTGTGGATGACAATGGCATTAAGGTGGTTACAGTCTGGTTTGATGAAAAAAACTCCCTAGTCATTCTTTCCATCACGGTAAGGTCCAGTACATTAACCTTAACAAAGTTAGATGTCTAGGGTAACTGGAAATCTGTTTTCAGCAGTTTTCTTTCCTTTCTCCTGTCCATAGGCCACCCTTCGGATCCGGAATTCCAATTTCTATTCTGTAGCAGTGACCAACTTGTCCAGTCAGGTGCAATACATGAACACTGTGGTTGGGACCCAACAAATCAACAATGTTACTCATATCCAGCCACTGAGTGATCAGCTGGTATGGCAATTATTTTACATGAAACTAAGATGTATGGAGAGAGAGACTAGGTGTGATAAGAACAGATAATCTTGTAGCTCAGGGGCTCCCAATCTTGGCAACTTTAAGACATATGGACTTCCAACTCCCAGAATTTCCCAGCCAGCCATGATGGCTGGGGAATTCTGGGAGTTGAAATTCCCGTGTCGTAGAGTTGCCAAGATTGGGAATGCCTGTTCTAGCTAACTCAACAGTGAAAGACAATTTGGCTCCTAAAAGAACCAGTGTCCCCATGGACTCCTCTGTTGGCTCCTTGCAATATGAGATGTATTTTTAAATTATTTTATTGAAAAGTCAATAAATGGGAAACTTGAAAAGTCCAAAGTGCTCATGATCTATTGCCACCCAAAATTGTGCTCTAATACAATTTTTTAAAATAAATATATGAATAAAGAATGTCTCTTGACTTAAAATAGACCCCATATTTATTCTGAAAAAAATGCAATGCCTGACTTTATTTATTGTCGTTCCCCCCCATTAAAAAAGAGAAAGATAATCTGAATGTTGAGTGTATATGGGGACATGAGTGTCTCGTTGTTTGTTTGGAGGGTTTTTTTGACTGGCACCATCCACTATGGCAGCCTCTTTGTGAAGAAGCAAACACTTGCTTCAAAGTCCTTTACTGTTACTGGCTTATAGTTAATTCACAACTTGTGTTTTTCCAGGTGAATTTCACCATGAAAGCTGAAATGGGTGGACCTTATGTATAGTGAGTAATTTGTGTTTTTGGCATTTGATGTGTAATGAAGAAATACAATATTTGCTGTGAGATAGTTGCCATTGCTAGGTTTCCTAATAAAGTTTCAGCTACCTTATCTTATATATGCAGTAGAACTATGGCAGCTCCTTCTAGGCTAAAGGGCCAATGGGTGGGTATAATTTATGTGTAAGCCTTCACTTATGTGCTAGGTTTCCAAGTATCATCCCTTCTTATTCCCATTTGGATAAATTTAAAAGCTTTTTCCTTGCATGCTTCCATGTAAAAATAAATAAATAATTGGGAGTACCTTCTAGATCCGTGATGGTGAACCTATGGCACGTGTGCCACAGGTGGCACGCGGAGCCATATTAGTGGGCACGCCAGCTCAGCTCTGGGGCGCATGCGCGCGCCGGCCAGCTGATTTTCGGGCCTTCTGGGCCCACCAGAAGTAGGGAAACAGGCTGTTTCCTGCCTCTGGAGAGCCTGGGGGCGGGATGGGGAAGGCCCGTTTTTCTTTCTTACCTGGCTCCAGATCCTCTCTGTGTATCTGGGAAGGGCGAAAACAGCCTTTCCCACTTCCTTGGAGGCCCTACGGAGGCTGAAAGGGCCCATTTCCCGACTCCCGGTGGGACAGGAAGTGACGTTTTTTCCTGTCCCCAGCCTCCAGAGACTCCTAGAGAGGCTCCTACAGACTCCTAGAGAGGTTCTGGAGGCTGGGGACAGCAAAAAATGTCACTTCCTGTCCCACCGAGAGTTGGGAAATGGGCCCTTTCAGCCTCCGTAGGGCCTCCAAGGAAGTGGGAAAGGCTGTTTTCGCCCTTCCCAGATACACAGAGAGGATCTGGAGCCAGGTAAGAAAGAAAAACGGGCCTACCAGGCCATCATGTGCCAGAAGCGAGGGGGGAGGGGGTTGCGCACGCATGTGCGTGGGCACGTGCGCGCGAGACCCTCCCCCGCCCCCCCTCTCCTGGCACGCAATGGCAAAAAGGTTAGCCATCACTGTTCTAGATACTTCAGAAACCATCTTTCTCATTGCTTCAAACCACTGGAAGAACCCAACCTTTTAAAAAACATTTTAATTGTTTGAATGTTCTGAAAAGTATGTGTAGAATATTTTCCTAGTCGTTCCAAAAGAAAATTTATTCCTAAAAAGATGTTGCTGTGTCAATATGCGACTGTTAAATGGTATCGCTACTGAATGTTGTACAGTCATATCCTCTTGAGCTTCATAATTGGAAGTGACAGCTGAATACCGCAGGACATTGTGACTAATTTAACAAAAGCCTTAGGTATAAAAAAATAGTCCATAACCTAAATAAAGCTAAACACAGATTTGGCAATAAAATCTGCTCAAGGTTAAATTTGGCTATACCATGTTCTGGATATAGAATAATAGTTTTCAGAATTGCTTGCATGATTTAGTTTCTAATTTATTTTAAGATTTTGTGATTTTCTCTCTTAGTTTCTTCTGCACGCTACCAAAGATCCGAGTGCACAATATTGTGATTTTCATGAGGTGCGTAACTTTTACGGATTTCTTTTTAATCTGTGTATCTCTCGGGTTAAAAACACATTTGAAAACGTTCCTCCTTTCTGTTTTATATTTCCAAATATAAATTCCTAACTAGTTTGGTGATTGTCCCCCAATACTAGAAAATCATTTTCTTAATCCCAGAACCTCTTTTAATAATTCTGCTGATTTTTGATAGTACAGTTGCCAAAAGCTGGCATTATGGCTTGCTCTTTAAAAAAAACAACTGGAAAAGACAATCAAACTGTTATGTATATCCTGGATTAGTCTTAACACATAATAAAAGTCTCTCCAAAAACTTAACAACCCTCTCCTCCCACATTTAATGTCTTTATCTGAGTGCTTTCATATAAAAACACCTGGTGAACAACCCAGGTTTGGTAGGAACAGAGAGAGGGTTTGTTGGTTTTTTTATATGTCAGTAGGTCCCAGGTTGGGAGGTGGTGGCTCAGTGGCTAAGACGTTGAGCTTGTCGATCAGAAGGTCGGCAGTTCAGTGGTTCGAATCCCTAGTGCCGTGTAACGGAGTGAGCTCTCGTTACTTGTCCCAGCTTCTGCCAACCTAGCAGTTCGAAAGCATGTAAAAACTGCAAGTAGAAAAATAGGGACCACTTTGGTGGGAAGGTAACAGTGTTCTGTGTGCCTTTGGCATTTAGTCATGCTGGCCACATGACCATGGAGATGTCTTCGGACAGCGCTGGCTCTTCGGCTTAGAAATGGAGATGAGCACTGCCCCTAGAACCGGAAATGACTAGCACACATGTGCAGGGGAATCTTTACTTTTTAGGTCCCAGATTACTCTCTGAACTTGACCACTGCCTTATCTAGCAAACTTGCATTTTGATGAACTATTTTCTGGGCTTCTGAAGGAGAAGAGTGGAGTTACGGGAAATTTAAAAGAGGTGAGGAGTCTGTGCCCCTCTTGTTGGTTTCTAATTCCTACCCTCTTCGGTCTCCATGGCAAATGGTAAAAGATGCTGGCAGTGGTAGATCCCTCTCCTTTACGTTAAATGATGATAGTTTTATTGATACGTACAATGTTGCCCTAGAACTTTGCAGATGGTTTTTGAATGCAGCTTAACTTGAGCATTGTCCAGTGTGGAGCTTGCTGAATATGTATGTTGAATAATATAAACATTCTGGCCCATAATTTAACATTTCAGTATAGGTATACGTTGTGAGGACTCCACTTACTTTTTGGTTTATAAAAAAAAATAATCATCTTTTTCTCTTTTGTTTCTGCCTTTCAGAACTTCAGTGAAAATCTCCTACATTGGCCACATATCTCAAAGTTCCTTGGAGACCTACAATTACGTTGACTGTGGCGCCAACTTCACAGCTGCCCATTCTGGCCCTTAGCCCCCAACTCTAGGAGATGAAGCTCAAGAGAAAGGCAGCTTAAGTCAGCTACATATACTGGTGATCCTAACCAACTGGCTTCCATTACTCTGTAACTTATGATGGAATTTTTGTATCTTTGTTATGAGGAGAAAGAAGAGGCTGTTTTAGCCCTTGGTTGAAAGGGCTGGGTATGAAGCCTTCGTTCCACAATTTTTCATGGACAGTTGGGCTGAACCTTGGTGCTGATTTGAAGAGTTGTTGTTTAATCCCAGTCCCCACCTTCTCTTCAGTTTGTGCTTTTCTTGTTGTCCCTCATTGACTGACTTTGCCTCTCAATAAGATTTGTCATGTTTACAGGTTTTTCCATTAAAATATAAGAAGGGATAAGTTTCTAAAAATGTTCACTAACCATGAAACATATTTCAAGACAATGACCTTCTGACGTGGTTACTGCCAATAAGGGAGCTATTGTCTAGTTGTACAAAGGGAAATAGTCTTGAAAGGTTTCTGTGTACTCTTTAAAAATCCTGTCTTATTGTCAGAGAAACTAAGAATATGTATCGCATAAGTCCCACTGAAACATCTGAATGTAGCGAGTTGCACTCTTTATATGTGAGATCCCTATAAATATGTATCTTTTCACTGATATAACTTTTAAAATGACTTTCAAAGTTCTGTGCACGCCTTTCTAAACAGCACACGATTGAATTAAGAATTCTGACATTTGCTGAATCTACAGTATTTTGATTTTTTTTTGCCTACAAGAATGAGCATCATGGAAGGGCTCTTCAAATTTTCACAGAAGCGGTGAGCACTTTTTAAACTGTGGATCTCCAAAGTCTCTGAATTGGGATGACAGTGGCTTAGCTGGCCTTTATTATTAGCACAGAAGAGTTTGATTGTGCAGATTTTGGTAGGGGTGGGAATTACTTGGTTTTCCGCAAAAAGAGATTAATCTTAGTGTTGCTGTGTAGTACCGTTTCTTAAAAAGAAACGGTAAAAAGATTAGTGTGGGTGTGTAGTGTTACATTTAAAAAGTAACATTGGAATTGGGCAAAGATATGTCTATAGGAAAGTCTTAATTTTGTTCGAATACCAATTATAGCACTTAAAAAGTTTCAGCATTCTAACTCATCTGCTACAGTCTCTTGAAGAAGAAAAAGAAACCTATTTAAACTTGAAGTAAATTCTAAATTTTATTTTTTACTTTTTTCAATGTTGGGGGAATTTATGTTCATTTAGAATCTGTACTTTTTCAGTTTGGCAGACTGGATTTCTAAAATGAAGAATAAACCCTTAAATCTCCCCCTTTGAGGAGTCTTCTGGTTTTTCTTTTATCAAAATGGATTTTTTATTTTTATTTTAAGGGGCTAATGGAGACACAGAAGGAGCCATTTCAGAACTGACACTAAGCAGCAGCTGCAAATAAAACCCACTGAATGTGTGAAGCCTGTTAGGGTGAGGAAGCCAACAACTAACTGTAATGGATTATTGCTCGGTGGCATTTTCCCCCCAAATAAGTCTTAATCTACTTGTTTTAACCACATTTCCTATCTACCAACTCAATTTACAGATCACCAATTATCATACTTTAAATGAAGACACAGTAAAACCTCAATTCAGCAGGCTTGTGAGGTGATGGGTAACATTTTTCTTTTTGCTTCCCCCGCAAATAACAAGACAAAAGCCCATTTCTGAAGCAGTCTGGACACAAGTGTCACACAAACAGTGCAAATGGATGGAAACTGATATCATTTTGGAGTTAACGGACTACCCTTCCCCTCTCGTCTATTAAATTGAGGTTTTCCTACAATGGACCATTCATGCAGCAGTTCACAAATGAAGGCATTGCGATAGCAAGAACAGGTGAGAATGGCTAGAAGGAGAAGTATTTATCATGCAGCACACGCATTTGAGTATGTGGTGGATGAAGTTCTCAATGGACGTAGATGTGCTCAGTTGTCTCTGTATAGTACTACAGCAAGACACCAACGGGAGCTAAGTAATAAGGGGTAAAGCAATACAAGTTAAGCAAATGCTCTTAGGAATCTTCCTGTCCATCTATTTGCTGAGGTTTTTTTCCCCCTACTTCTGTCATTTTAAACACTAAATTTTGATGCAGTGGGATAAAAGATAGGAAAGGAGATGATCAAGTGGAGACAATTAAGAGTACTGTTACTTTCTTGTGGTCTCCTGGGAACATAGCAAGGCTTCTGAGATCGCCTGAATATCATGTCCCTAGCTTGCATTTGACCAATTGTTACAAACTCCGTTACTATCACTTTCCGTCTCTTCTCCTTCCCAGCATTAGAAATTTCCAAGTGGGCCAACATTTACTTTCTCCTAAATGCTCTTCCTTATTTGCTGCTGCTGTAAAGAGGGAAGAAAAAAAAAACAACGGAAATATTCCCACCCACTTGGCAATCCAACTCTGGAGAGCTATCACAAGAAGGAATAATCAGTCACTGTTATTACATCTTCTTACATTGTCACATACTTACAAGGTACAATCCAAGAGATTACAACAGCTGCACAGAGCCAATAATATTAGCTCTGGCACTTTCACATCCCCTCCCTCCCCCCACTTCCGCCCACCTTACTTTTCGAGCCCCAAATCGGGGGCTTGCACAAGAGGCTCTCCCAGGAACTTGTGCTGAACTGCCAGGCCCCCCTAAGCATAAATTACATTCAGTGTTGATGGATCAGTGCCCCCTCCCTTCTTCTGACCCTCAAGGCTGGATTCAAAAGTGCTCGGAAGCCACGATTCCCTTCCCAAAGGCCTGCCGTGCTCATCCATCATGCCGTGGGGAATCCGGCAACAATGTGGTTGTGTTAACCATCCTCTTGGGGCCAGGCCTGTTGGGTTCCATCTCACAGCTAAGGGGCATGGATCTCGTGCAACACAATCGCCAGTACATTCAAGAACTTGGTCAGATTCAGAAGGGCAAGGAAGCCCTAGGTGTCTTAAGAGGTGATGTGGCCTGGCTGGGCTTGTGCCCTTTGCCTGCATGTCCAGTTCTCATGGTACAAACCAGCGGCCAGAGGAATGAGATCAGGCTGGGTTTGACCAGAGGTCAGTGGGATGGAGCCAGCAATTGTAACGGCTGCTCCAGCCCAGGTCTGTCCACACTGGGGAGGGAGGATTAATTGCATTACCCTGATCACAGATTTGAAATAAAGCCTGAGACCACATCACTCATCACAACCACACAGAAGCCCCTGCCACAACAGTGGAGGCGAGGCCTGTAAACACTTGCACCAGGAGAGCTGCCAAACTAGAAAGAAGAAAGAGTGGGAAGGATTTTATCCTTCTCGAAATGAAGCAATAAACTAGGACAAAAGTCAGAAAGGGGAGATAATACTGGGAGGAGTGAAGAAAGGAGCTTTTTACAAATGTTCCTTCATTTCTTTCTTTTTTAAAAAAAATGACTCTTCTTTTAACAGCCAGGCTGTGTGTTGCTTTGGAAGAACCCCCTCTGGCTGCTCAGTTTGTCTATAGCTTCAGGAGGAGGTTCAGCATCCATAAAAGATGGCCTTGTTGAATTCCTCAGAGATGCCCAGCGTTTGCCTCACCATGGTTGAGCCCCCTTCTTGGCCCGTAACCAGCTGCCTCAACCATTTTGTTACTTCCTCTGAACGATCTGAAAGAGTGAAAAGGTTTCTAGGAGAAGGAGGCAGCCTGGGGCCTTTGAAAGAGTGTAAGACATAACAGCTATTTCAGTGCAACGATCAGGCACCAGACCTGAGGAAAGTTAGCAGAAGGAATGTGTTTCAGTGCGGCTTGAAGAAGGAGTGTGCTTGGTGTTTCCGGGTGATAGCAGGGTGATCCTGAGTCTAAGACTAAAGGGGTCTGGCAAGGCAATAGGTGGAGACTGGCTGCTAATTGGTGTCTTGGCCTAATTCATTCAGCCTCACCGGCTTTGACCTGGACAAGGCCGGGTGCAGGTGGGCTTCACAACAGCCTCATGACATTTCAAATTAAAACGCTTCACAAAACAGGCATTAGGAGCTGTGCCTGCTAAATAAAAATATGTTCTCTCTCTGGGATAAAGAAAAATGCCCCCAAGAGTCAGTAGGTGGTTTTACTGCCTGGTTAAGTTAGGATGCTGTTTTTATATATAATGTATATATTAGGACATCCCTAACTTTTCTCTCCCACTCTTGCTCAATTTTTTGAGAGGTGGGAAGGGTCGGCGTTCTAGAAGAGAAAACCCAATTTGTTGAAAGGGCAAAGGAAACTGAATAACGGAAACAGGTTTTTCCATGAAATGCATGTTTTCCACATGCTCATCCACGCTGGATTTGAGCAAGCAACTTCACTCCTGTTTTTGTACGCGTTCCTGCCTAGAAATGAGGGAGGCTGGCCTACAGCCCCTTTAGTGTGCCACAGCTCAAGTGCATCCACTAAGCCCTATACCCTGACACGGGGAGGAGAGGGATTCACTTAAGCCAAGTTAAGTGACACAAAGGTTCCCCCTTGAACCTTCTTCCCTCAGTGCTATTGTTGTGACAAATGCTCTTGGGCCCTTCAACACTCCCCCCCTGCCCCACCACCCTATTGTTATGTTTTGGGGCTCCATAGAAGTGGTTAGTACAGTTCAGTCACCAACCGCTCCAGTAATGCTGATTTACATTCCGCCTTCAACACTTCTTATAAACCCAGAAAGAAAAGGGGAGCTGACCCCACATAAACACTTGTCCCTCTCATTTCCCAAAGTCTTAATTGGGAAGACAACAATGTCAGCCCAGGTCCTAATTCTTATTCACTCCAAATACTGGGACGCATTGCTCTCGGTTCTCTGTAGGCTTTCTCTGATGACCTGTCTGGAGAGACGGCTGTTTGCCCAGGATATCAGCAGAGCAGCTCAAGGCCTGGCAGTAGAGAGAGCTGTGAGTCTTGGTGATGGCAGCCTGTGCCAAGCAGAACCGCTGAAGCTGGGCTCTGGATGGGAGCTGCCACCTCCTCTGCATGACACAAGTCATGATCTATGCTCCTTGGCATTACAGTCCAGGTGCCAGAGGGGAGTGGGATCTCCTTAAGGAGAGGAGGCATCAGTCACTGCACCCTTGTTGGCACCGTTAGGATGGGGAAGAGGCTCCCCCTGGCATGCTACACCAGGGCAGTTCGGGCCTCGGTCCTTCCCATGCTGGCACTGCTGCTTTTCCGGCGCAGGCCTGGGGTGGCAATAGTGCTGTAGCCTTCGTTTGGGCAACCATGTTGCATTAAGATGTCAATGCATTCTTGGCTTCCTGCTCGGCGAGCGTAGAAGAGTGCGGTGTGCCCCACAGCATCATGGGCCTTAACGTCAGCACCGTACTGTAGGGAGGGAGAAAAAAAAAAAGACCGATTAGTGTTAGGAACTCCAAAACACAAGTCTGTGTGTTCTGCTGTTGTGTAGGCCTGACTGGATTTCATCTGGAAGCTGGAAATTTAGAGCTTCAGTAAGGAGTGGAATATGCTGTAGCCACTGCCACTCTCAAAGGGTTATTCTCTTCCTCGGCCCTTGTTATTTTTGATACTTTTTTCTATATTTCCCCCAAGTTACACATTGTTGAGTAGTATATTCCCAGGAAGAAGGCAGTGGCAAGCCATTTCTGAAAACGTTGCCAAGAAAATTTCATGGACTTCTCCGTGTAAGTCACCAGGAATTAAGACTAGCTCAAAGGCAGAAAAAAAATTAAACAAAACCAAGCTACACAGACCAATCAGTTGACTTCCCCCCACCCACACCTTGTTCCAGTTCTCTCTATCTCCATCAGTACCAGTCTTTCAAAGACAGGGTAAAATATCTCTCCAAAATTTCTACCCAATGCTATGGCTCTTCCTAATTTCTGACAAGCAATGTTTCCCCCCCCCCATACCTCCAGAAGGAACTTAATGACTTTCCATTGGAGGAACAGTGTGAGTTGGTTGTTATGATGCAGTTAGGCTGTAGGCTAGGGAAGATCTCTGCAGGTGCTGATTTTTTTGGCAGCGGCGGGGGGGGGGGGGGGAGAAACCACATCATTGTTCAGTTTTAAATACTCCAAGAAACATAAAACAAATCTTCCATTCAGTACAAGTAATTTTGACCTGAGATAGTTATCATTATTGTCTCACAGGGCACTAAGAATAGGAGACTGCTACTCCTCAGACTAGAGATTCTGTTTGGTTTCCTGGGCACTAGTGTTTTCCTATATTGTGCTTTTTAATAAGAGATGAGAACTTCTGCATGCAAAACATGGGCTTCACCATTACGTTCTGCTTCAAACCAGTTGCATAGCTTATGGACGAAACTCACACAGGCTATGCAACATAATATAAGGGGTTTGTTTCAATGGTGAAATCCAAATTTTTTTACTACCGATTCTGTGGGCATGGCTTGGTGGGCATGGTGTGGCTTGGTGGGCTTGGCAGGGGAAGGATATTGTAAAATCTCCATTCCCACCCCACTCTGGGTTCAACCAGAGGTGGTATTTGCCGGTTCTCCGAACTGCTCAAAATTTCCGCTACTGGTTCTCCAGAACCTGTCAGAACCTGCTGGATTTCACCCCTGCTTTGTTTGCTTCTGCCCAAAGGACGCCATACATGCTGTAAATGGATCCAATTCAAAGTCCAAAGAACTATTTTAAAGCTACTACCAACCTCCCATATCTGTATGGAGCAAGAACATTTGAGATCACCGAAGGAAATTTGAAATATGCCATTGTAGGCATACATACTGAAATGAATATATGTATAAATTCTGAAAATGTATTACATTCTCAGAAATTAATGTTTTAACAGTCAGCTCTAGGCGATCTGTCTATTGTGTATGTCAACTTTTTCTCTTGGAGAGCAGGCCTTCTTTCATTAAGAGATTTTTCCCCTCTCTCCTTGGACTTAAAAGTGCCTCTACTGCAGTGGTGGGTTGCCCCCCGGTTCGGACTGGTTCGCAAGAACTGGTAGTAAAACCGGCGGGAGGCTCTGCCCACTGACCTGGACATCATCAGAAGTGATCTGTGCATGCGCTGGCACAATGCGAACTGGTAGTAAAGGTAAGTAGAAACCACCCCTGCTCTACTGCCAAGAACTTACCCAGACCAAAAGTTGGGTGATAACCACGTGTGGAAGGTCACATGCCACATGCAGAGCTGTGCGCCGGTCCTTGTCCCCGGTAGGAGCATTGATCTGTTCCTTGGCACTGTGGGCTAGCAAGAGCAGCACAGCCCCCAAGTCTTGGTCCAAGACAGCCTGGAACAGTTGACACCCAAGGGAGAGTTCAGAGTTTGGTAGTGGTGCCAGGAATAGTCGTTGCTCATATTTGGCTCGGATCCAAGATTCTCGCTCTTCCCTGAAAAAAGGAAATTAAGAAAGTTTGCTATAAGAGTCTCTAAGCTCAGAGACACCCCCTGTTATGAAAAGCACACGAGGTCGAAAAGAAAAAAGAAAACCATGGCAGGTTCTTACACAGAGAGATGGTCAAAGGGATGGAAGAGCAAGATAAGCATGAAGAAAAGGAGCCAAATTCAGACATCCATATACTGATTGCTAATAATCTCTATGGTGAAAAATTCAAGGCGGTTATATGGACATCTTCTGATCTAAGAGCTAGGATGATTCTCAGGTCCCAAATGGGTCTATGGTAATTCGCCATGGCCAACTTGCCACAGCCAACTCGCCACAACCAACGCTGCAGAACAACTCGCCACAGCCATCTCATCACAGGACAACTTAATGCAGAACAGGAGTGACACTAATATCAAAGAAATGGTGGAATAGAATCATTAAAGAAAGGATGCAAAAAGAGGGACAGAATAAAATGTGAAGGGCAAAAATTAGAATATGTTAAAATTTATTTTAAATAATTAAATAGAATTGTTACATAGTCCTACAGTGAGTTGACCATGATGAGTTTGCTGCGATGAGATGGTCATGGCATTTGTCCCATTCCCTTCTTGGAAGGATATGGATGTCAACTGCTTCCCCAACTTCCACATAGTTTCTTCCTCTAGGCCAGTATTTCTCAACCTTGGCAACTTTAAGATGTGTGGACTTCCAACTCCCAGAATTCTCTCAGCCAGGTTGAGAAACACTGCCTTAGGCAGAGAGAAGGACAGAATGATTACTCTCCACATGGAGAGTTTATAAAATTAAAGGTATATTTAGAATTAACCCCTTTTGAGGCTGGTTATCCCCAATAGATGCCTTCCTCCCACACACCAAGTCAGCAACGCTGCAATGTGCCCAACCTTAGCTACATCATGCGTTTATAATTTAACTTCTCTCTGTGTTGATCCAAGTATGTGTGCCACAATGCTTACTCCCAGGTAAGTAGACACACTAGGCCTGTCTAAGTCTCCGAGGGTATACTTCCACTACATTATGTGATTATCTGCACTTACCGTGATGACTCACAGGTGGGTTTCCGGCGTCCCTGTGTGCATTTCTCCCAGACGCTGTTGGCTGTTTCATTCCCGATAGAGGTGAGCACCAAAGTGAGCTCCAGGGGCCAGTCATCCAAGTCAAGAGAGCGCACACGAGACAGGTGGGTGCCCAGATTCCGGTGGATGCCAGAACATTCAATGCAGATCAGCGCCCCCAAGTTCAGACTGGCCCAGGTTGGATCTAGAGCGAAGAAAATGGAGGAATTAGAAAAGTAGGATGAAGGACAGGGAACTGCCCTTCCCCTTCAAATCAAAGACCAAACTAAAGGAATTGTTCTGATGTGCTAAGTCACAGGCAACCCAAGTTAGGATGAGAGATTGTAACTAGCCAAAGGAGAGATATCCCAATGTGGTAAAAGGAAAAGCCCAGCCTTCTTGGAAGTAAGCCCAGTGGTGGGTTTCTACTGGTTTGCCCCGGTTCGGGTGAACCAGTAGTGGTGGCGGTGGGAGGCTCCACCCACTCACCCGGACGTCATCATGGACGCTCTGTGCATGTGCAGAAGGTTCTGCACATGCGCAGAAGCACTGAGCGCGAGTGAAGCAAGCACATGTTTGCGCTCACGGTTCCGAACCAGTAGCGAAGGTAAGTGGAGCCCACTACTGAGTAAGCCTCATTATCAGGTAGCATTTTCAGATTTGGGCTTGGAGGCTTTCCTTTTATAGAGGAAGAGAAAGGAAAGACAAAGGAGAGAAAGAGAGAGAGACATCACAAGCTGACCAGCAAAAGGGAAGAGTGGAAAGGACTCTGCAGTGGGACTTTTCTTCTGAGCTCCTTTAAGTCTCCCTCCCCAATATTTTAAAAAGACCCAGCCTTGAAACAGCTCCCTTTTCCTATGAAGAATCAATCTGTTCCCTTAAAAAGGAATGCCAGCTGGGATGCAAAGGAGCCAGATCTTGCATAGGAGAAGGGTCGCTGAAATCTCCTCTGCTGTGGCTTGGTATGCCAAACCTGTCTGCTGGGAAACGACAGGCCAAAGGACAGAAGCATCTGTGCTGGAGATGGTTTATTTCTTTAGTTAGACATTATCTCTTTTTAAAATCTTGTTTTATAAAATTTTATAAACATTAAAATTATTTTATAAACAAACAAACATACAATACATAATCAATCATTCAGTGCATCATCAAGATGTTTCTATTTTGTCATCATCTTCTTCTTCTTACTCCTCCGATCTTCATCGTTTATTTTTCCAACTTCTTTATTATAACATTCTCCCCATACTTCATTTATTATAACATTTTCTGTTTACTATTAATACATTTATCTATATCTCTTCTCTAACCAATTGTAAAATTGTAGTTAGATATTATCATTTGACGTAGTAATTGTCAGATTGAAGCTTCAAAGGAGACTTTTTTTAAAAAAAAGCCCTGCCCCTAAAAGCTGGTGGAAATAAATCCAACTATGTTCCTATTTCTTTGGTGTGTCCTGGCTCTGCCTTCTTTTTCTTTTCTTAAGATTTAAATATTTTATTGGTAAAATATAAAAGCTAGAAGATATGATGAAGTGCAACCAAAAATATAACATTGCTAATTATATATATGGTCATTTTTCACACTTATGACCATTGCAGAGTCCCCATAGTCATGTGATTTACATTCGGATACTGGACAACGGGTTCATATTTTTGATGGTTGCAGTATTCCAAGGTCATGTGACCTTGGGATCTTTTTGTGACCTTCTGACAAGCAAAGTCAATGGGAAAGCCAAATTCACTTAACAAATGTGGCAAGAAAAGTTGTAAGACGTGACAAAACTCACTTAACAAATTTCTCACTTAGCAACATAAATTCTGGGCTCAACTGTGGTCGTAAATCAAGGACTACCTGTAACAATTAACTGAGTGACATTTGAAGAAACGAGTTATGCATAAAAATGTAGCTCAATCCTTTAATGTACAGTATTACTAAATCTATCCATATAGACCACCTATTACTCATATTCTCAGTTTTAATACAGGATATTTCAGGGAGAGAGAATGAATATAGGACAGTCTCATATACATACACACACACACACACACACACACACACACATATAGACTCTTGGGATTAAAAAGGTCCATCATTCCCAGATTTAATGAATGTTGGCTTTAAAGCACAAAGAATATTTCAAATCCTTTTGTTTCATAAAGCTATTCCGATAGCCACCAATTTTGCTAAATCCATTACCTTAATAAGAGAAAGATATGCATGCCATCCAAATCTTTTGAAACAAGGGATTAAAAATGCTTTTAACCAAGTCCATAATATACTTTTTCTGTAGATTGGAAGGAACAATATTAGATGCTGAATTAGAGTTCGCAATTAATGCCATACTGAGGTTTGTACAGGAAATGCACCATCCCTATTGGATTTATTTTTGGAAACAAGCAATCGTTTCCTATTCAAGTTCAGCCAACATGGTCTCTAAAGTAAGCCTGTCCACCTTCCTCTCTTCGGTGCCCTCCAGCTTTGTTGGACTACAGCTTCCATCATCTCTAGCCGTTCATGCCGCTGGCTGTGTGGGATAGGAATTCAAGAGCGCACCTGGTTGAAAAAATCTAAACAGCCACATACTTACTTAATGCCCCACAATCCACACACAAAGAATTTCCTTTGGCATTTCGGATAGCCTGGATTGCCACTGCTTCACTCTGGCTGTCCATCCGGGCCTGTTGGAGAAACAGAAGATAGATAGATGCTAAAATGTCCATTGTTTCAGGGGTTACTTCACAGATCGCCCTAATTTTGACTGAGGCCTTGCAAGACAGGGTAAGCTATTGTCTGCTATGTCTTGAAACCCATCTTCCAAACCTGTATGAAATTTTGGGATTAAGCTCCTTCTTTCCTCTAGACTGGCCATACCCAGTTCCTGCAACCGTTCTTCATATGTCTCCAAGCCTTTAATCATCTTAGCTGCTCTTCTTTGCACTTTCCCCCAAAGTTTCAACATCTCTTTTTGAAATGGCCAAAATTACAACAACCTTAGAGGCAATCAATATTTAAAGGCAGGCTTCAATAGAGAAAAGGACAGCAGGAAGCTGGGCGGTTCAATACCTTGTTCTTACTACTTTCACAGCACTGCAAGCTGGCCAAGATCTGGCTCTCGATCGCTTGGACCCAGGAATCTCTCTCCTCGAAGCTGTTGGCCTCAAAGTGCCATGTCTGCCCTGTGCTGGAGACGATGATGAATTCGAAGTTCTCTTCCTCTGTGGATGTAAAAGAGTGGCCCTCAGATGTAATGAAATGATACCTTTCCCTGAAGTTCGAACTGTTTTACACTCACAAACTGGTGTTGGGGCAAAATCTGGGGGCCAGGGAAGGACATTCGGAAGTTAAATGAACACAAAAGAGGCTTGGTTTGTTTTTTTGTTTTTTTAGCACAGACGCTTGGGGAAAGTTGTAGGGAGATGATCTATTAGTATTAGGGACACAATTATCTATCGGTGACGCAAGCCAACATTTTAAATTCACAAACAGCAAGAACCTGAAAGAGTTCTACATGGATGCTGTCCTTTCTGGGGAGAAAAATCTCATTGATTCTATCAGCACTTCATCAGCTCACAAGTTATTTACTACTTTAAAGTTATTTACGGAGCACTTTTAAATTTGCAGAGCGCTCCCTGTGTGTTTCCTTGCCACAGTACTGTAGGCTTAACTTGCTCATCTCTGAACTAGAGAGTGGAGATAGTGTGTGGAAACACAATACCACTCGACTGTGATTCTGTAGGATAAGGGAGGTTTCGAATTGTCTTTTCTCAGTCTCACACTTTGTTTTGAACATGGATGGAATATGGGGCCACTTGAGATCCAGCCAGAACAGAAAGTTCAGGAGGCAGGAAATGGCCAGCAGATGATAATCAACTGATAATCAAACCAGTTGAGGGCTCTGACAGGAACCAGGGCTGTGGTGGGGAGCAGAATTTTCTACAAGCAAGCCCAAGCCATGGGTGAGGTAGGGCAGGGAAGTGTGCTGATTGCATAAAAAGAAATTCTTGCGATGTCAGCTTCCCTTCTCTTCCTTTTGCAGGAGAATCAGGGCAGAGAAGTGGGAATTAGTTGGTTGGAATGGTAAAGGATCACAATCCATCTGAGATAAAAGTCCTAAGGCATCCCTTAAGATTGGGAAAGTTTAAGCACTTTTATCTCTGATGGATCACTTTTATCTCTGATGGATCACTTTTATCTCTGATGGATCAGATTCTATTTTGCTCCCACCATTGTCTTTGCTGTGTAAAGCTTCAAAATCAAAGACCATAGTGGGGGCAAAAATTCAGAGTTATTTCTAATGCCAGTGATGGAATACTAGTATTGATTATCACTGGACTTGGAGCAGGAGATCCAAGGTTCAAATCTTCACTCAGTGATCCATGACCACTTCTTCTGGGAAGAATAATTATGGAAATGGAGAGTCTGGGGAAAGGGCCATACCTGCATCAGCTTAAAGGACCAAAGGGTTTCTGCCAGGGGTGGGATACTCGGGTTCGGACTGGTTCGGGTGACCCAGTAGTTCTGACAGTCAGCTGGCCCCACCCTCCCACCACCACCCTAGCCTGTCCTATGTTTCCTTCTATCTGGCTCAGCTAATTCACATGGCATAGCTGATTTCCATGCCTCTATTGTTCTACTTACCGGGGCTGCCTTAGAAGGTAAGGAGCTGAGCTTCAAACTGCTGTATTTTGAACGCTGCGTGCCAGTGCATTAGGTGCACGTGCACACAAATTTCACTTGCGCGTGCAAAGCCCATACACACATGCAAAGCACGTGCTCACAGCACCGGTTGTTAAACTGATTGCAGCCCACCACTGGTTTCTGCCTGAACCCACTCCTCAACAGGTCAAATGACTCTACCACCAACAGAATAATCTGCAAAATGTGTCGGTTTTTACATACCTTGGAACTGCTACAAATTTACTATCTACTTGAGGGAGAAAACACACTCCTGCAGAACAGCTAAGGACAATCCTAAACCTATCTCACTCATGGGTTGGAAGCAAGATGAAGACAGAATCCTGGGGATATGGCAGTCTATAAAGAATTCATGATCTGTTAATAAATACAAATGGGGAAAGGCTGTCTAGATTTCTGGGCTCTTCTTTCTATACCCATTTGTCTTTCAAGGAGCCTGCACCACAAAAAAACTGTGGAGCCCTATATTCTCCAGCAAACAGTGCGAAATGCAAATGGGTCTGATCATTATATGCACATGTAGGGAAAGTACACTGAGCTAGAAGAACACAACCTTCTATTGTTTTGTGTCAGCATTTCAACCTGCATTTACTCTAGTGCTGACATAAGAAGGAGAAGCGAAGGCGTCTGGAAAGGGACGGCTGACTTTTCACCTACTTATTTTCCCTGGAGATAATGTTTCCGAGGAGATGAGATGGGAGGGGGGAATTCCTTTGAGCTGGAATAAATTAGGGGTAGAATGACTTGGAAGATGGCCAATGAGTGCAGGGGAGTGGGGAATGGAAAGGGAGGGTTTGGGGGCTGGAAGTCAGTGTTGGCTTCGTTTGGAGTCAGGTTTTTTTTTTTTTTTAAATTTGATTTATATGCCACCCTTCTCTGGAGACTCAGGGCGGCTTACAATGCGTTAAGCAATAGCCTTCATACTTCTGTATATTTTTATACAAAGTCAGCTTATTGCCCCCACAAACTGGGTCCTCATTTCACCTACCTTAGAAAGGATGGAAGGCTGAGTCAACCTTGAGCCTTGGAGAGATTCGAACCAGCAGAAATTGCAGGCAGCTGTGTTAATAACAGGGTGCACTAAACCCCTGTACTATCAAGGCTCCCTATCAAGGTTAGGATGTTGTGCTCAATAAATAGGAGTTTTTTCTTCAAAGATTTTGTTTGAAATGCATTTTATTCGAGACGACCTCGAAACTTGACAGTTTTGGCTGCGTACAGCAGGAGACCCTAGAAGTACTGGAAAAGTTGCCTTCCAGAGAATCTACTGATTTTTATGGCCCTGTTTATTTGCACTTTTGGGGCTCATCTGATGATCTGACATATTCCTCCCAAAGGAGTTCTGATTGAGTTTCAGAATAAGTTCGAAAACTCTCATTCTGAAGGAATTTTGGGAACATAACCATTTTGGGAGGAAATGGAGGTACAAGGGAAAGGGGAACATTTGTACACACTCTTGTTGGCCTGGGGATGGTTAACCGGGAAGCAAGAAGGGATATCCCTTGAGAGCATCAGGGGTGGACATCAAAGCAGGGCACACATCACAAAGTAAGCACAACTGCATGCAATGGGTGCCATGGCACACACACAAAAAAAGAGCCCACACCTGCCACCGCCGCTCATTACCTGTTTTATAAATATTTCTTAAACTACCAAAGGTTTTTAATTTCCACATTTTACGCTTGGCTGCAGTGGGTCCGGAGGGGAAGCAGGAAGCGAGAGGCAGAGAAAGAGAAGGGAGGAAAAGAAGAAAGGGGAGAGTGTTCAGAGGAGGAAAAGGAAAATAATTAAAAAAAAAAACAGAGGCTATCAGAACTCCCAGACCCCTGGATTCGGGCACCAGTGGGGGGTGGGTGGGGGGTGGATGCGTGAAGCGCTGCGAGGGACAGTGAGGGAGACAGCTGTGAAGGGCACGGCCCCGTGTGGTGCAGACTCAGTGCAGAAGTGAAAGGTTTGGCAACAGCTGCTTAGTGCAGGCAGAGCTAAGAGAAAAGGGTGGGAAATGGGCCGCCCCTCTGACCATGGCCCAACCCCTTCTCAAAAGGAGAGGACCATTCCTTTCCTTTCCAGGGGTTGCAATAGGCAGCATAGCCTCCCCACAGCCTTGGCTAGGATTCTCCTCACCAAATTCCCCTCACTGACTCCCATGCTACTTTTCCCCCACCTAGTCAGGCTTGTTGAAAACAATCAGCTGGCCTTTGCATGAACATTGGGAGGCATTCTTTGAGTTTTGCGCCTCTGACACCCCAACCATCTTGGTTATGTTTCAGTTCAGGAAATAATGATCACTGTTCAAGCGTTCCTCCCTTCCTGCAACCGAGAGAGAGGATCCAGTGCAACCCCCAGAACTGTGGAAATAGCAATAGCACTTAGACTTATATACCGCTACATAGTGCTTTTACAGCCCTCTCTAAGCGGTTTACAGAATCAGCCTATTGCCCCCAACAATCTGGGTCCTCATTTTACCCACCTCAGAAGGATGGAAGGCTGAGTCAACCTTGAGCCTGGGGAGATTTGAACTGCCGAACTGCAGCTAGCAGTCAGCTGAAGTAGCCTGCAGTACTGCACTCTAACCACTGCGCCACCTCAGCTCATGCTTAATCCTGAAGCAAACATGATGCTCCCACTCCTTTTTTTTAAAGTGCTAACTATATACTGATAATCCTCGATTTATGGCCACTATTGGGACCGGGGCTTCAGTTGCTAAGCAATGCAGTCATTAAATGAGTCGCACCTGATTTTATAATCTTTTTTTTTTTTGCTATGGTTGTTAAGTGAATCCATTGACTTTGCTTGTCAGAAGCTGGCTGGGAAGGTTGCAAATGGCAATCGCGTGACCTGGCGACAACCGTTGTGAACACTTGTAGGTTGCTGGCTGCTGAAATTGTGATCGTGTGATTGTAAGTGTGCTTAAATTGAAGGATTGGTTGTAAGTCATGTCTTTCAGTGCCATTGTAACTTTGAATGGTCGCTAAATGAATGTTTAGATGGAGGACTACCTGGCTAATACTTTGCCTATTTCAAGACTCTCCTATCTGCCCAATAGAAGAGTGTCTTTCCTCTACTGACAACCCAGCAGGTATACTGTATTTTTCGGAGTATAAGAGGCACCTTTTTCCCCCCTAAAAGGGGGTAAAAATTTAGCTGCGTCTTATACACCGAATGTAGCCCCGCCAACCCACTGGCCCCCATCCTTTGGCCTCTGCCTCACAGCAGTTACCTCCTTGCAAGCAAACAGCAAGAAAAAACAGCTCCTTTCAGCTTTAGCACAGCCTAATTAGCACAAGTTGATTGGATCTGCCTCCCGACTCTCAGTTGATTTGCTCTCAAGCTGTTTTGCACAGGGCTCTGCTGCTTGCTGCAAAGAGGTAAATTGCTGGAGCAGATTTTTTTCCCCGGTGTGCTAATCAAGCTATGCTGAAAACAAAAATGAAAGTAAAGCAGGCTGTTTGCTGTTTGCTGCAATGAGCAAAGTTGCTCAGAGGCAAAGGCAGAGGGAGGTTTTTTTCTTCTTCTTTTCCTCACCAAAAAAGGTAGGTGCATCTTATACTCCAAAAAATACGGTATATGATCTGGAATCTACCCCCCACCCCCACCCCCACCCCCCGAAAAATGGCTCTGTTTACTGTCAATGGTAGTAGAGCAATGTCTTGGTTGGTTGGCTTTGTAAAGAGACATCTTAAAGATACACATTACGAAGGGCAGCCCAGTCTTAATTGCCATCTGAGAGAAAAGCCTTTTCTGCATTAAGAACAATTTCACTCTAATGCATAGGCTTTAAAAAAAAACAAAAAGCGAATGGATCTCTCAGACTCCCCAGCTGGTGGGTCCATTGGTCATATTGGCTGAACATTCTGACAGCTGCAAGCCCTCAACATGGAGAGAGCACCAAGTTGAGGAAAATCCCTCTAGAGATGCCACTCTAGTTTTTCTGTCTATTTCCTTGGAAACCAAGATGTTCTAACATGCCCAGTAGACAGCCCAAACTGTGGTTAAAAATGGACTCTTTTCAACTTTCCGAATCATGACTGAGAGCAGAGGCCTCTTACCCTCCGCCTGCCCTGTTGATCCCTCAGTTTTGGATGGTGTGCTGAGCTTCTTCCGCCTGTGTTTCTTTCTGTCAATCATAGGAGATGGAGGAGGGTCTTTGCCACTGCTGCCAGGACTGGATAGTCCTTCTGCAGCCATGGATACTTCTGCAGGAACAGGTAGGAGAAACAGATGATGTGTCTGCTGGCTAATCTTTCTCACTGAATCAGAGAAGCTAGCCATTTTTTGGCATCCTCTCTGCTCCTGGGAGGGCTTCCTGTTGTGTTCTGAACTTACCAGCTTTGGAAGAAGATACCGAGCGCTGCAAACGCTCCGGTTTGCCTAAGAGCTTGACTGCTGGGTCAACTGGAGGATTCAGCAGGCCCGGACTAGGGCTAGCTATGGAGAAGAAGGAATAAGCACATGAACCTGTTAGAATCAATATGTAGCTGGTTTGGTCTTGTTACAATATTTTGACATCTCAGATAGGTTTGATTTTAAGTGCCCATTTACTGGAGGTCTTTTAGGATGGAGAAGTTGAGAATTCAACCAGGTGTCTCCTGCACTTAAGTCGTAAACACAGAAGTAAGTTAAAGCTTGTAATGGGATTCTAATTTCTTTGACCAGAGCTGAAGGATGAGGAGGACACTAGTAACCTGAAGGTGGTTAATCAAAGAGTGCTTTTATGCTGAACTTCAGAGGAATCTCATTGGTACCTAGGACTGAGCCTGAAGCCATCTTCCAATTTCCCAGTGACTATAGTAACACATCTCCCATTAGCTAACAGTTGGTGGAAGCTTTCCATGGGACACAACTAAAGGATTAATTAGTTCCTTTAAGGATATTCTGAAGAAACATTTGTAGCTGCCATCCTGATATTGTTGAGATAAACCAGCATTATCTCCCTGTCACAGCCCCCTCCATCCAACTTTTAAGAAGTATTTTTATTTTTTCAGGCTTATAAGCCTTTCTCGTTGATTCTAAGCAGCATCTTTGGAAATTTAGATAACAAACAAATAATTAATCATAGTTACTGTACTTTTCAGAGTATGACGCGCTTCCCCACACCCCCAAAAGAGGGTGGAAATGTTGGTGCATCTTATAGACCGAATACAGTCATTTTTGGCCTTCCGAAACCCACCCTGCACATCCTGTTTTTGCCAAAAACAGGCCTTTTTCCCACAAGAACGGGATGCGCAGAGGGTTTGGGAGGCCTGGAGAGTGCTTCTGGGGGCTGGGGAGGGCAAAAGCGGGATGCATGAGGGGGGTTTGGGAGGCCAAAAATGGGCCCATTTTTCATAATAAATGGCCCGTTTTTTGCAAAAACGGGACGTGCAGAGGATTTGGGAGGCCTGCAGAGCGCTCCCTGTTTTGCCCGTGGAGGGCAAAAACACATGGAGGCAAAAAACTATTTTTTTTTCTTGTTTTCCTCTTTGAAATCTTGGTGCGTCTTATACTCTGCTGCGTCTTATAGTCCGAAAAATATGGTATATCAAAAATAATAATAGGGCAAATCAATAGGAAAAGGAAAAAAATATTTAAATGCCCAGGAACACCACAATCAATAAACCAAAAATTAAAATATTCTTCCTCCCCAGAGGGAACAGGAACAACATTCCAGTCTCATGGAACAGCCAGGTTTTAATGGACTTCCTAAAAGCCAGGAAGGAAGGGACCATTCTAATATCTAGGCATGGGCCACTCCAGAGGAGAGAAGCCATACTTGAAAAGGAAGCTTTCAAGATCCCTGCAGATGGCTATCTCTGAGCAGAGAGGCCTGGACTGAGCCCACTGCTCAGTCTTACCCATGGCCAAACTGTCCCCAGTTTTACCACCCATGAACAAGACAGCAAAAACTGGTGGTCATTTGAGATGACTTTTCATTTTTCCAAATAACATTCCAGCCGCTATTGAATGGGAAGGTCTCCTGTAGATGTCACTATTGGATTATTATACTGTGCACAGTTTCTGCACTGGAGCTAGCGGGTAAACACATAGCTTTCCAGCTTTATGAATTCAATTTGAACAATCACTTGCTTCAATCAATGTTGCAGTTCAAACAGGAAGCATTAGGAATTTTTATGTCAAATTTGATTTGGTTGGATGTTCAGCTAATTGTCCAGATTGAACATTAATCAGAAAAACTACTATTTGATTATATATATATATGATATATTTCCCATACAGTAGGAGAAATCTGCAATAATGGCCAAAAGCCAGGAAAGCCAATGGCTTTGGATCATTCATTTGCAAAATCTGTGTGAAAGAGAAAACAGTCAAACTAGCTGTCCTTAGAGGGTGTCATTCCATATCACATTTTCAGCAGAAAGCATTTAAAGAAAAGTGTGATGCTAACACTTGCCAATCTTCCCAAGTAATATAGCCTCACAGATATGCACATTAATATGTAGTAATACAAAAAGTATGTAGATGTGATACTGTATATATACAAACTGGTTGGACATAACTTCTTACCCTGAGCATATTAGAAGAAGAAAAAATCCGTGCTTAATCATATCTGCTTTCTCTCTCTTCCCACTTCCTCCCAGGTAGAATTTTGTAATGCTTGAGGATAAGGTAAAGGTAAAGGTTCCCCTCACACATATGTGCTAGTTGTTCCTGACTCTAGGGGGCGGTGCTCATCTCCGTTTCAAAGCCGAAGAGCCAGCGCTGTCTAAAGACGTCTCTGTGGTCATGCGGCCAGCAAGGCGCACGGAATGCTGTTACCAAACATGGTCCCTATTTTTTCTACTTGCATTTTTTACGTGCTTTCGAACTGCTAGGTTGGCAGAAGCTGGGACAAGTAATGGGAGCTCACTTCATTATGCGCCACTAGGGATTCGAACCGCTGAACGGCCGACCTTTCGATCGACAAGCTCAGCATCTTAGCCACTGAGCCACTGCGTCCCTCTTGAGGATACCCTCATTTAAAAACACCACCTGTTGTTCTTCATAAATTCTTCCTATCATATTCTTGTGGGCTGTTGCCAAGTAAGGTTAAAGAAAAGTGTGATTACTGGCACATTGTAGTGCAAAAGGAGGAGGAGGAATAGTGTAGGGAACTCTCCCTCCTTACTCTTACACAGAAAACTGTAAATGAAGGCATCGCAATGAATCACAGTGTGAATTCGCAAATAGTAATTATATACACACCTTGGCTGGCAAAAAGCTTGTAGTATTCCTCCCTGGGCTGTTTTACCAGTCTTAGTTCTCACTGTCACAATAAGAGTGCCCTGCCACTCAGCTTGGCAGGCCTTTCTCACAGTAGTGATGCCAAACAGCAGCTGGGTCCTCTCTCCCTATGTCTATTTTGTCTGAGATAGCACAGCTCACTTACTACTGCTGTCCCCAACTCCAACGCTGCTCATGTCTTTCACCAGGCCGTTGATACTTGAGGAGGCACCACAGGCAGAGATGGCTCTGGGTGGGCGTTTGCCAGGTACTTTTACAGTGGTGCGAAGGAGATCCATTTCTTTCCCATGGGTTCCATGGATATAATCCTGGGGAGGCAGGAAGAACAGGTGGGAAAACTTAGGAAGCTGGACATCAGCCAAACATGGGCTTTGAAATGGTCTTATTCTGGAATTCTTAACCAGTGTTGTGGCCTGCTGGTGGCCAGCAGAGCTGGCAGCAGAGTTGGACAGTGAGGTGATTGGGGAGGAACATGGGCCAGTCCTGGGGGCTGGGGAAAGGTCAGACGAGGGCTCTGTGTCGGAGCCAGAGAGGGAGGTAGGCAGCAGTGAGGCAGAGGAACAGCTGGAGCCTGTTCCCAGTGTGCACATGTGCAGAGCTACCAGAAGACAAGAACCACTCAGAAAGCAGGGTCGACTTGGGAGTAAAGCCACGCCTTGGAGGTAATTGGCCCTTCCCATAGGAAACAAGAGAGGAGCGAACGGGGAGTGGGCTTTTGCAGGAAGCAATTCCTGCTTTTTAAGGGAGCCTAGGTCAGAACAACCAGCCTGATTCCATGGATCACCTGAGAAGGTGTCTCAAACCTGTATTTCTGTCCAGGTCATGTCAGATGCTATTCACAACCATTTAGGGCAATTATCGTGCACACAAAAAAATGACAAGCTCTAGAACAATCCTATCTTATCTCTGTGCATTTGGATGTATTTGATTACAACTTCCACAATTCCCAGCTACCATGGGTTTTGGCATCAAATGAAGTAGGTGGAAGAAAGTGGATCTGGGGAGAGGAGTTAAAATCCGAATGACATCTTGCACATTTCACAAATCAAAGATTTTTCACTATATTCCTCAATCAGTTTTGACTTAAGGGATCCATGAAATGGAGCATACAGTAATATATTTTGAGGTTAAAGGTAAAGGTTCCTCTTGCACATATGTGCTAGTTCTTCCCGACTCTAGGGGGTGGTGCTCATCTCCATTTCAAAGCCGAAGAGTCAGCGCTGTCCCAAGACGTCTCCGTGGTCATGTGGCCGGCATGACTAAACACCAAAGGCGCACGGAAAGCTCTTACCTTCCCACCAAAGGTGATCCCTATTTTTCTACTTGCATTTTTTACCTGCTTTCGAACTGCTAGGCTGGCAGAAGCTGGGACAAGTAACGGGAACTCACTCCGTTATGCGGCACTAGGGATTTGAACCACTGAACTGCCGACCTTTCGATCGATAAGCTCAGGGTCTTAGCCACTGAGCCACCGCGTCCTCTAAAAGAGCGCTTGCCTTGGATAAACCTATCCCCAAATTCCCATGGAATACAACGAGAATCAATACTGTGGAATACAGCACTGATCCTTCATCATGATGAATATAGTTTAATTATAATAAGGAAAAATAGGCTGGCCAGAGTTTATGGGAACTGAAGCCCAACACTTCTAAAAGGTGCTACGCTGAGGAAAGGCTATATTTCAAGGTTTTAGCAGCTCTCTTCCTGACAGAAAAATAATGGGCATGGATACAGTACATGCTTCCTGTAGCTGAAATCTTCCAGTTCACTTCAAAGACCATGTTTTTCCTCCCAAGGGTTCCTATCAAAATCCTACCAATTTGCTTATTCTGTGAATCAGATCAGATCATCTAGGGACACACGTCACACTCTGTTCTACTGACAAGGAACTTACATTAATGCTGGGGTGATAGAAGAGAAGACCATTACTGGACAGAGTGACATATTTTTTCTTCCACTCCTTGTTCAGAGAATTCCCACTTCGTTTCAGCAAGAAGCTCTACCAGGAGACAACAATGGTCGTTAGCCAAGCCAGAGTTTCATTTGTTTTCTTTACCCTAAAATCAAAGCGGCCGGGAACAGTGTACATAGTACGAGAAAACAGTAAGGTGAAAACCAAGCCAAAACAACGTAAATTAAAAACAGCTAAAGAAGGAACGAAAGCCGCGACAATATTTGAAAAGCTGAAGCAAAGTTAGAAACACAGATGTTTTAGGAAACGGCTTTGACTGGAGGGACAGGAGGAAAGACACAACTGAAGGCAAGAAAAATCAAATCAAATCCTCCAAAGCTGGGGAAAATGAAGCAATCTTTGGGTAGCATTTCAGACTTCATGAAGAATGCCCTGTGCCTTCCCTTGCTATGGCAAAGGATTAAGAGGACTGACAAAATAGAGCTCAAGCCAAACTGGAAGGTTTACCTGTTTGATGGGTATAGCTCTCCCACTGCCTGTGTTGTCACCTCGGCTATCCAGGCTCCTCTTCTCTGTATCACTCCCTCTGCGATTCTACAAGGAGACAATTCAAATATCTCAGCTGCCCAAAAGAGAACAAAACTCTTTTGTTATGAACTGCCCAAAAGAGAACAAAAAGACTCCAGTACCTCTCCACTAGTAATCAGCAACTTGATCAGCATAAATTAACTCCAAGGTCAACTTCAGACCAACAGTTACCGGTAAGTAAGCAATAACCCAATCAAGAAACTGCCAAAGAGCCATCAGTAAACAGCCCAACCAAAGAATCAACCCCCCACCCACCCACCCACCCACCCAGACAGGCAAGACATCAGAATATAAACTGACAGCAAACAGGACTCCTTACTAGCACTGATGATGTTACCTAGTTAGGGTAATTAAATGTCTGCAAGAAAACAAGTAAGCTCAGAGAGTGTTAGGATATGGTTTGAGCCTAACAAGTTATCCAGTCAATATATGTCTTCTGTGACTTTAATATGAATATGTATTGTGTGACTTTAAAGTTTTACTGCTGATTCATTGTAATGCTGAGTCATGCTGTAATTATATAATCACTGGTTGTGAACGTATTTAAGAAAGGTACTGCAAAGTATTCAGTTGATGATAAGCTACCATTGTGTGTGGAGTTGCAACCATTGTGCTATCATCGGTTGGATGGATCTGCTACCATCGTGGTTTGTGAACCAGAGTGAGTTTGTTATTCTAACCAACTACTGTTTGTGTGGTAAGAAGATTTTGTATCACTGACTGATTTAACTGGCAAAGACTTGGATTGATTTAAAGACTATGAGATTGTTTTTTCACTATAAAGTAAACTTTTGATAAACCAGTTTGCACATCTCTTATTCATTGCTCTCAGCAACATTTCTCTGTGCTCTACACTCTTCTGGTTGGTAACACAACAACAATATCCTTAACAGAGAGCACCAAGGACCCCTAATTTATGAACTGCACTGAGCTATGGCTTTATTTAACCATGATTTACCAGACAAGCCATCACTGCACAAATCAATATAGTGCCCAAAATGCCTTGTTGGTACCCTTTATCAGGAGACATTTCTATAAAAATAATTCAAACTGAAGCACTTTAAAAAGGGGGTACACATTGTAATACAATATAGATTTTTTTGAACTTTGGCTTACATTAGCCCTTAGCCGAAGGAGGGCACCTGGTTGATTTTCCCTAGCTTAAAAACAGCATCATCTGAACTCAGACATTTTTATAAACCAGGGATGTGTGATTCTCTAGAAGATGTTGGATCTAGAACAAGTCTCACTACCTCTCACCACCAGATGCACTTGAAAGAGAAGGGAACAATGGGAATTGAAAATGGTGCATATGTTGCCTGCTTCTGAGATCACAGTGTGTAGGTTATATTGAAGTCTGTTTTTCTTTTCAATGGGATTCAGCAAGACTTAATCCTAGGTATGTAATGGCTGTAACCTTAGGATATCTTTTAGAGCGCAAACTTATGAATTGTTTTTACAGAAACTTCCTTTGACAAACATCCCGCCCCCCCCATGCTTTGGGGATAATATTTACTTCTCTACCACTGACTTACGTGAATTGCCCAAAATATACCCAACACTATTCAATAGACATGCATTGCAGTTTGAGAGATTGATAGTAATGAGCAAGTTGCCATATCAGTAAAAAGATTTTTTTTTAAAATTCTTCAGCATTATTTATCTCTTTCTTGAGACCTCCTGAGAAGAATCTGAGAAATGCCACGTCTCCCAGGAACATTTTTTTAAAAATAGGTACTGCTTTGACTGAATAATAAGTGTCACAGATTCTGATACAGGAATCTGACCTCCAGCAAAAGGCACCAAGCTAGGAACAGTTCTAACAGGTATTAAAGAAAGAGGCTTCAAGCATTTTGGGTACCAGGGAATGATGGAGACAACTTCACACCATACTTGATTACTTAATTAACCATTTTTCCAGGGTGCGTGCTAAGCACTGAACAGTAAAGTAGCCAAACAGGCTGGGCTTGTACAATACTCTAGATCAGGGGTGTCAAATTCGATTTCATTGAGGGCCGCATCATGGTTGTGCTTGACCTTGGGGGGCTGGAGTGGGTGTGGCCAGGATGGGCATGGCCAGCTTGACGTCACTCATGTTGGGGGCGGGGTGGTGACCCCTGTGGTGGCCCAAGTGCTCTTCCAGTGAAAACGGGCTCCCAAACTCTGTTTTGGCTGCGACGGCCTCCTTGCAACCCTCTGCCAGCAAAAAATGGAGCTTGAAAGTGCCGCCTGTGGCCCTCGCGAGCTCTGTTTTAGGCTATGATGACCTCCTGCAACCCTCTGCCAGCAAAAACAGAGCTCGGAAGAATCACATGCAGCCCTCCCAAGCTTCTTTTTCGATGGCAGAGGCACTATGGGCCAGTCCATCACTGTTTCCAGGGTGGCCCCACAGGCCAGATCTAAGCACCCCGCTTGAGTTTGACACCCCTGCTCTAGACTCCACACAAACCTTACCAAAATGATAAGTGGTCAAGCCGAGCATTTTTACAATTGACTTTGCCGTGAGAACTCCACTGCTGAGCTTGTCTGTCATTAGATCATCTTTGAAAAGAGGGTCAGGAGACCAGAGAATCCAGAAAAGAGCTATCAAGATTGGAAGTTGCCATCCACAAGAACACAGGCAGAGACAGATCCATCCCAAAGCCCTGCTCTAAATGACTAGGAGAGGAAAGCAGCTTTTCTTCACCCTGGATAAATCAATGAACAGCTGGAATCTGGCCAAATTCCCTTATAATGACTGTGTCTTGTTTGACCTGACTAAGGTCATCCAGCTCTTGGCTTTCTCTCCTTATTCTTCCATTCTGATGGACTTCTGGGAGAAACTCACAGTGAACAGGCTGGTCCGGCGTTTGGTCCCACGTTGCAGGGAGCTGGGTGTGCCAATAATAGCTGACGCCTCACTGCGCAGCTCCCGATGGCTAATATTGGGCGTGGAAGGAAGGGATGAAGAGTAGTCGCTTGTATGGCCACCATTACTTGCCTAGAAAAGAATCCAGAAAGACTTATGCCTAAGGGAAGGAGGAGAGCACCAGTATGAGAGCGACCACCTTGATTGCTAGGTGTTCATGCATAGTTCTACTTTGTTTCGAATATTCATGAGTGTTCGCTCAGGTAATCAGTAATTTAACTTAATTTAACAATAACAGAGTTGGAAGGGACCTTGGAGGTCATCTAGTCCAACCCCCTGCTCATGCAGGAGACTATACTAGGGATTTGAACCGCCGAACTGCCGACCTTTCTGATCGACAAGCTCAGCGTCTTAGCCACTAGGTTACATCAACTGTAAATCAAATGTAACCTAGTGCAATGCAATGCAGGTAGTCCTCGACTTACGACCCCAATTGAGCCCAAAATTTCTGTTGTTAAGTGAGACATCTGTTAAGTGAGTTTTACCCCATGTTTTGCCCTTGTTGTTAAGTGAATCACTGCTGTTGATAAGTTAGTAACACCGGTTGTTAAGTGAATCGGCTTCCCCGTTGACTTTGCTCGTCAAAAGGTCACAAAAGGTGATCACATGACCCTGGGACACAGCAACGGTCATAAATATGAATCAGCTGCCAAGCATCTGAATTTTGATCACGTGACCTTGGGGATGCTACAAAGGTTGTAACTCTGAAAAATGATTGTAAGTCACTTTTTTCAGCGCCGATGTAACTTTTGAACAGTCCACTAAACGAACTGTTGCAAGTCGAGGACTACCTGTATAGTATTTTTCACATTTCATCTGTCATTTGCCAAAACCCAGTTGGTATGATCATGGGCTATCCAGATGTCTCAGAAAGATAGAGCTGCTTCCCAAAATATTTTCAGTCTGCTGTCTGAGCTCAAGAATATTTGCATGAAATGCATGTAGTCAAGCATTTCCTGCCATTGTCATCATTTTTGTTATTCCTTCATGCCCTCAAACTAATGTTTTGGAAGTGTTCCTGCCTCTTGCTGTGGGGCAGCGGTGAAATCCAATTTTTTTTTTACTACCGGTTCTGTGGGAATGGCTTGGTGGGCATGGTGTGGCTTGGTGGGCGTGGCAAGGGAAGGATACTGCAAAATCTTCATTCCCTCCCCATTCCAGGGGAAGGATACTACAAAATCCCCATTCCCTCCCCACTCCTGGGGGAAGAATATTGCAAAATCTCCATTCCCACCCCATTCCAGGAGAAGGATATTGCAAAATCTCCATTCCCTCCCCACTCCTGGGGGAAGGATATTGCAAAATTTCCATTCCCACCCCACTCTGGGGCCAGCCAGAAGTGGTATTTGCCGGGTTCTCCGAACTGCTCAAAATGTCCGCTACCGGTTCTCTAGAACCGGTCAGAACCTGCTGAATAGCATCCCTGCTGTGGGGCCCATGGAGCCCAGCAATAGGCTATCCTTGCCCCATGGAAAAAAAGGGAGAACCAAGGCATCTGCTTTCATAGAATTGCCACTGAACCAAAGGCAAAGATCTAAAAGCCAGGACTGCACAGAAACTGCTAGTTTGGGCTCTTCTTTACTGTTACAGTATATTGTGTTTTTAATATGTCCTGCCTTCTCAAGTGTTTGACAGGCAGCCTTATAATAATATTAACAATAATATATGAATGGAAAACTATGGCTGTTTTAATAGTGTCCTCATAAGAAATACGATTGTCTTTGATCTTGCACAGGATCAGGGCAAGTTCCCATTCAAGCTTTTTGGGAAAAGGGAAGCTATTTAAGACATTATTTTTCTTCTTTGGTCTTCTATCTCTGGGTATCTTTGGCTGTATAAGTCTCTATGGGAGTTTCTCTCTCTTTCAGTTGGGTTCTTCCAATGATGACATAAAGGTAGAGATGCAATCTACCCCTTAAAAAAACAAACAAACAAGCCAAAAACAAAACTGGAAAGGTTAAGGGGAAAATACTGCTCCACTTTTTGATCTTCCTTTCATTCACGCCTCTTGAAGGGAAAAAAAAAAGCCAGTGTTTTTTTCTCCCACTTCTATTTTCCTCCAAGCCTTCACATCTCTCTGTATTGCACAGATTTACCCTAGAACAACCCTTGATCAACTCTACAACCTTTGTTAACCCTGTTACTCTTCCCATCTGCCAAGCAGACAATCTAAGGAAGGATTTCCATGGGATGGCACATGAACTGCAAAATATCAATTTTGATTTTTGTTTTTGTTTATTTTATATATTTTTTTACATTAATCCCAAAATTGATTTTAGATTTTTTTTTTTAGATCTTTCATTGTTTTTTTTTAAACCATTCAACATCTCTGGTTCAAACTTTTACCCAACTGGTATTATGGCAGCTAAGTTTAAGGATATTTAAACTTACCTGAATAGCTATATTACATGATCCAAATCCTTTGCAGTCCACGTGCAATCTGTCTGTTGCAAAGCCACAATGCTCCACTCCAATTTATTGAGCAACTGGGCTGGTGTTGCAATTGTACTACAGGCAGGGATGGGATTCAGCCGGTTCGCACCAGTTTGGGCAAACCGGATATTAATTTTAATCTGGTTCGCCGAACTGGTTGTTCCAAGGATTGGCTGACCCCACCTACCCCTCCCCTCCCAGGAGTCTCCACACGGCCCGTTTTGGATGCCAGGTAAATGCAGGGCGCGCACGGAGGCTTTGGGAGGGCGAAAAATGGGCTTACCAGAAGTCTAGAAATGGGCGTATTTCCGGTCTCCGGAGGGCCTCCGGTGCCTGGGGGAGGCCGTTTTCGCCCTCCCGGAAGCTCGAGGAAAGCCTCTGGAGCCTGGGGAGGGCGAAAAACAGGCCTACTGGAAATCCACCTCCGGAGGGTGCACGAAGCGAACTGGTTGTTACAACTGGTGAATTCCACCACTGACTACAATCAGACTTTTCTCCAATCTGTGGACCTTTTGCACAGGCCCACATAGAAGTGATTTAAATCTCTGAGAAGAGAACCCAGTGTCTTTACACCAAGCCAGCTTCTTCCTTCCAAGATGCTAAGGACCTTTCCGGAGAAACATGATTCCTGAAAGGAAGAAAAAGACATGGCCTATATTTGTACAGGGCAGATGCCACCCACCGGTGTAGAAACTGCTGAATGGCTGGGTGTGCTGGGCAAAGATTTGCAGGATGCAAGCAGCTGCTGTTGTTTCTTCATGTTCACAATCTTCTGGGCAACTGGAATAGGAAGGGAGAGACGGGTAGGAAAGTCAAATGGTGGCTAAGGCTTTCCAACTGCCCCATCCAAAAGCAATGTAGAGATCTGTCATAAGAGAATTGAGATTCTGTCCAACCCATAATTTGTTCCCCCCTTAAGGACCAGGTCACAAACTGAACACATTTTTGATACTCCACCCACTCACTCTGTGAACCCATCCAGCAATTATCACTTCAATGTGTTGTGATCTTGTACTAGAGGGAAGTATGTGAGAACATAGTCATATGCGTGGGATGGCTCATATGTGTCTTTCTGTGAAAAGTCCCTGATGGGAAGATAATGATCAGGTTAAAATAAAGCACAGTGTGATTAGCCTCACTCACATAGACACATTCTGAAGATGTTCTTCCCTCCAATCCTGGGTTGTACTATAAATATGCAACTCTCATATCCTTTACAACAGGAGTCCTCAATCCCCGGTCCATGGACTGGCACTGGGCCGCGGCATGCCAGAAACTGGGCTGTGCCAATCAAGCAAAGCCCCATCTGCGGGATGCAGGCAGCACGTGAAACCACGGCCCCTCTGATCCGTGGAAAAACCTCTCTCCACAGAACTGGTCCCTGGTGCCCAAAAGGTTGGGGGCCACTGCTTTATAATATCAAGCTGATTGTTCTTGGACTTTATAGACATTTTGAAATTTTCTCTGTCTCTGCAGTGGGGGGCGGCAGTCATTACAACCGCCAGTAAGCTGGGGCAACTGTGCAGGAGTAGAGAATTGCATGGAATTTTGATGCCGGTGAGTGATATCTAACTCATAGGCAGAAAGAAAAAAAAAAGATTTTTTAAATAATTGTAAATGTCCCTGTGCTATAACAGCGGCTAATAGGCGTGGGAAAAGACAGAAGAAGAAGAATAAGGCGGAAGTTATAAAGTGACAAAACCTGATTAGAAAAAAAGTATTTTTTTGGATTTAAGTATTTGGGGAACTCAAAAAAAAATTAGAAGAATTAAGAACCCGAAAAGATCTTTCTTCAATTTGGGAGTTTTAAAGGGAGGAAGATTAAAGAATGAAGGACTGGCCAATGATTCTAAATTGAAATTAATCTGGAATGTAACCTGGAACTTGGACTATGTAAATCTGGACTGAATTTTAAAGTGATTTGGTGTATATAAAGGTGAAACAGAAGAAAAAGAAAAATTAAATAAATATTTAAAGCAGACTTGTAAACAAAATGGATATTTTTCAAGCTTGTTGATTGTAATAGTGGATTGTAGAGAGCCATCTTCAGGAGAAAAAAATTACTGCAATGCTGAATCTTTGTTTTGGAAAAAAGGATTTGTTTTGGACTTTGAATGGGACAACAGCATCTGAGAATTTTTAAGGAGGCTTTGTTTGTTCACAAGTGTTTTGGCTTTGAGGGGGAAAAAAGGATTACAACATAACTTCAATTGGAATAATATCAACCTAGAAAGAACAAAATGGTGCAGGAACTTAAGGAAATGATGAAAATGATGTACTTATCATTGAAAATGGAAATAAGGGAAATGACCACAATATTGCATGGAAAATTGAAACTTGATGACCAAAAAATTGATTTAGGACTCATCCAAGCTGACAAAGAAATAACTAACGAGAAGCAAGAAAAAGAGACTGACAAAGAAGAAGACAAAGACAAGGAGATTGACTATGGAAAGTTAAATGACTATGTGGGTAGTAATAATAAAAAGGAGAACTTTAAAAGTTACATTGGGATTAACAATGGAAGAAATAGAAAAAGGGAAAAGAAACAAAGAAAGAAAAGAGGATGGAATAGAAAGAATATAAAAAACTCAAATGATTATACTGGGATTATCAGTGAGAACATAAAAAAAAGGGGAAAGGGATAGAAAAGAATGGGAAAGATACAGCAAAATAGAAGAGTCTATGACTTTAAAAAACAAAATGATTATACTGGGATTAACAGTGGAAAGATAAGAAAAAGGGAAAAGAGTACAGGATTTTAAAATACGAAAGAAAAGAAGAAGAAATAAAAATAAAAATAAAATAAAATATATAAGATAGAAAGGGAGAAAGAAATGGAAAAGGAATATGGGGTAAATGAAATGAATATTAGAAAAAAGATGAAATTGTATTTTCAATGAAGTGATCTTAAACTATATGGATGTATGAAATGTAACAATTGGAATATGTTTAATTAATGAACGGGACTGTAATAATTGGAATATGCTTAATGAGATATTTAGAATTTAACTAAATAAGAAAAGAAAGTTGAAATGATATTGGATTATGAAGTAACTGGTTTTTATAAAAACGTTGAAGGGTACTATTTGGAATATTAGATAAAGAAAAAAATTATTTGAGATTGAAACAAAAAATTCTAAGAAAACAATTAAGAAATGTATTATGTTGTATGAGTTTAAATTTAAGGATTTTGGAGTAAGATTGATATTTAATTGATTTGTCATGGAATATGTTTAATTAGTGAAATTACTATAAATGGATCACTTGTAAAATAAGAGATAAGAATATAAATAATTGATGAAGTAATAGAATGACAATAATGAATTATTTAAGTCAATATGAAGAAATGGTAAAATGTAGGGATGTTTAAAAATTGAAAATAAGATCTAGAAATAAGAAGTATATATACTTAATTGGTTTCTACCAGTATTTTGATTATTCGGAATAATTGATAAGAGAATCATTGGTGATTAGAATAATAGAATTTAAGGAAATAATTGGGGTTTGTATTATGTTATATGAATTTAAATTTAGGGGTTCAAATTTTAAGGAGGGAAAAGAAAAATTGAACTATAATAGGATGAGAATTTAAGATAAAGGGCAATATTGGTTTCTTAAAATCAGAGAGAATAAATGCTATAAGAAAAATTGAATGTATAAAATTGTGTTAAAGATGAACAAAAAGCTGTACAAATTTAGGACCGGGCCATATATTTTGTTCAGAAAAGATGTATTGTATGTTTGTTTGTGTGTTCAAAAAATAAAAAAAAACTTTACTATATATAAAAAAAAGGAAACAGCAGAACAGCCATTACAGGAATGAAACCGTAGGCAGGCCAGTAACTTATCCCCACAGTGTCTTATCTCTGTAACTCTCAGTCTGAAGCCCCCGCATGTCCAGTATTAGCAGTTTGCCTCAATATTTTATGACACGAGCATTTCCTCTGAAAATGTTGAACTCCTCCACAAGCCCTCCCTTTGCCTTTGGTTGTTGAAAGTGATAGGTCTCAGGGGGCGGATAGAGTGCGAACTCAACACAAGAAGAGAAGGAGTAGCTCTAGGTCAAGTTCACTCTCTCACAGTCTAGTTGTATCATGTGTATTGAACTTTTCTCTTGCTCAGAATGGTAAGAAGCAACTCCTTGGAAACAACAAAATAAGCATACTTTTTTGGGGTGGGGAGGTAAGGGGGGAAAGTGACCTCAGAAATCCATCATACAAATGTAAACTAACAGATGACACAACTTTAAACACCGGTAGAAAAGTGTGCAAGTACTATTGAATGTGTGTGCCTTGCTAATATGATTCATCACTTCTGCAGCAGATAATAGGAACCTATCATATCTAGAGCAAAATATCAAAAATACATTCCCCTTGCCATTTCTACTTGCAGAGTTTATCTGTTGGGGAGAATGTTTGTTTTCACACACACCTGTTTTTATTGGCATGACATATAACCTGGCTTTCCTCTCTTCTGCCTACTCAGAATACATTCTAGGTAGATATTCACCTTCACTGAAGACCCGATCAACATTCAGCCCATAAGTGGCACAGGTCTCATAGTAGAGGCAACGGCGCATTTCTGTACATAAAGCCCGGGCTCGGGAATCTTCAATCACACGTGGATTGCTGGCACTGATTTTGTCTGAATGGAAAAAATAAAATAAAAATAATTCCCCCTCCGTGTTTCAGGTGGAAAGAAACGTGGCGTAATCAACAGAGGTTTCTTCAAACGATCTTGCAGAGTGTGCGATAAAAATGATTTCTCTGCTTTATGAACAGTCAGGCTGCGTTGACTTTGTTCAAACAAAACATATTCTTGCATTAATTCTCATTCTGTAAGCTTTTAAAATACGTGTAGATAAGGCTACCCTAAAATCAGAAAAAAATAAGGGCAGTATACATTTTCTTTGCATGAATGAGACGCATATTTTATCTGCTGGCCCATCCCTGCTATGCGTTTTCAAAGTATTCCGCTGTGCTATTGTTCTACTGCTCTCCGCTTCCCTCTTGGTTCCTGAACTCAGTGTGCCTCCTTACTCCAGTCCAGCTCTTGTCAGCCGCACTTTGGCACAGGTGGACGTGTGACCTAGAAATAATAAACCTGTTTGGACTTAATTTTGCTTCTATGCAGTCTGCCTTGAAGGATCATACTGGCTTCTTTGGAAGGGATCCAAGTCAAAGCCTTTACAAGGCATTACCAAACCCACTTCAGTGTCTGGAAAATACTAGGGCACTGGGTCATTGTTAAGTAGCTGCAGATGTCCTGAATGCTAAATGGAATTCCTAGATCAAAGTGAGGTCTCTAATCCCACTACAGAACAGTCAGGGATCTACATGCAGTATGCTATTATTGCACTAATATTCAGGAAATGGAGGTAGATCGCTTCTTTTTATGAGTGGATTGTAGAGCAATCGCCTAATAGAATCTCATAAACTGCACAAGGATTTCCAGTGATCAAATACGCTTTGCAGGACAGAGTTATTCATAATTAGCACAAGTGGAAACTATCGTATAATTTAAGAATATATATAAAAATATCTGAGAGCACAGGATTTCAATTAGTTGAGTCTTTTTAAATACAACTGTAAATCGATTAATTAAGAAAAAGATATTTAAATAACGCTGGAGAGCAGCTTCATCATTCTGGGGGACCCTGGCAGAAGATGATCTGTGCCACTCCAGGAAAGAGTGAATGATGCCAATCGTGAACAAGCTATGCAAACAGAGCACTGCAAGAGTGCTTTACTCTAATGACTCATTCAGTGAAGCTCAGCTACACATCCAATTCATTATGTGAGTGAAGGATGCCTTCATTTTCCATGCTAATATTGTCCAATCTCTTGCCCTATCTTTTTACTTTATTTTTTACATTTTAATTATAATAAATATATTGCATATAAATATGTGTGTTTGTGTGTGTGTGTGTGTGTGTGTAAAGTATACATTTATATTGATACAATTTATAACATTTTATAAAATATAATATATATATATAATTTTATAAAATGTTATAAATTGTATCAATATAAATGTATGCTTTGCATATATATATTTATATGCAATATATTTTATATAGATGTGTGTGTACATATATATACACATATACAGATACACATATTTAATTGTAATAGATATATTATTATTTATATTTATTTATATAAATAGTTTGCATTAATTCCAGGTACCATCTTGGATCCATTTTCACTGCTCTTCATGCAGATCAGAACTCCATAGCTCTTCCATAAAGGTAAGTGATGAATGGATGGAAAAATCATCCACTCTTTTTGGTACCCAAACAGTCAGTGAAAAGCCAAAGGACGAACAATTGACTTAGTAATGAATAAAGGGCAAGACATAGGCCACAGAATCTCTCTACTTAGAGATTTGACTCTGTTTCATTTAAACAACTCCCAGTAGGCCTTAGGGCCCTGCTATGCTCCCTTCACTTCAACATTTTTGGAGCCCTTAGAGCGCACTTCTTCTCCCCACTCACCCTGAGTGCCCACCAGGGCAAGAGCCATGTCGGAAACGGCACGGTAGTTGGTGAGGAGCCCGTAGAACTGAGTCAGCTCTTGGAAACTGGCCTCGTTCTCCAGACTGAAGACAAAGATGACGGCATCTGCCCAATTGGCGAACTGTAAGGGGGAAGAAAAGCAAGTGGGAAAGATCAGTACCAGGCAGTTCCCTTCAGACTGCCTTTATTCCACACTCAGAATAGGTCTGGGAATGGGAGAATGATACTGGCTCCAAACTCTCCCCAAACAGAGAGATTATTAAAGATTTGAGAACTTTACATCAAGCCAAGCATTTATTTATTGTAATTCTGCCTTTATTATTTTTTATAAATAACTCAAGGCACTACTACTACTCCTCCTCCTCCTTCCTCTTCCTATTTTCCCCATAACAACAATCCTGTGAGGTGAATTGGACTGAGAGAGAATGACCGTCTCCCAGTTACTTTATTTTACTCTCCCAGCCACCTCAGTCCCCCTCTATGGCGGGACTAGAACTCACAGTCTCCTGTTTTCTAGCTTAGTGCCTTAACCACTAGGAGCAAACTGGCTATTTCTTTTGTTTCTGAAACTTTTATTTCTTGATTCCCACAATTAGTGCTGCAGGGAGTTAAATGACACTGATTTTATATACTGGCATGCTTGTTTATCCATAAGCTGGAGAGGAGATATCCAATTTTAAATTAAAAGGGAGTGCATGGTAAGAGGTTTGAGACCTTTCTTTTCCTTACGTGCAGTTGCCCAAGACACTTTGCTCCTAGCCTGGCTGATTCATAAGAGTTGGGGTGATAAATGAGCTCCCCTCACCCACACCCTCCTTTGGAAAGAAAACCAGACACACTTCTACCATCTTTTCTTTTTACATGAATGAGCCAGACAACTGAATGGCAGACATGGCTGCTCCCATCAAGTCTGGTTGGGTCCTCAGAATTTCTCTTGCAAGAGAGAAGAGCTTGTTTTCAATGCAAGCTAAACACGGGGTAGCCTTTTCATTAGAACTGCCAGGATTTCAAGTGGGCTGTAATTTCCAGATTCTTCCATCTATGAATAATTTGAGTCTTTCCCAGACCATAGTAAGCAAGCGGAGAAAAAGAACAGCTGCCTGAAACACACAGGCAGACAGTTACTGGGCTGAAAGTCTGATCTGTAGGGTGGAGGAGTGAATGTGCATGTCCTCCTGTACCAGACACTTCAGCCCATGGCCCCCAACACCTCCAGATTATCCCACCAAAATGCTTTGTTTGGCAAAGAGAAGATAAACTATGATGTAAACCAGAGTTTTCCAAAGTGTGTGTTTCATAGAACCTAGGATTCTGCAAGCAATTGATGGGCTTCCATGAGAGACGAGGCAACAAAAAAACGGATTCACTTGGACACAGCCAATTTTCAGTCATTAGATCTATGCCTCATGATTAATAGCTCTAGGTTTTATTTAGGGATGGTGGTGGGAGAGAGGGAATAATTTCTGTGACCTGAAGAAGTTTGAAAAACACAGACAGGTCACGTGTGGAGATCTGTAAATTATTCCACAATTTTTCCTCTTTTTGAAGGGGGGGGTGGAATTCAAATGAGTCTGCATATGTCTAGAGGTCTCTATGCATGCAGAGTGGAGATATCTCAAAAGAAATTAATTTAGGGCAGCAGTAAACAAACTCCAGATGTTTCAGATTCCAATGTCTATTAACCTCAGCCGCTATGGTTAATGGCAAAGTATTGTAAGACTTGTAGCCCAAAACATCTGGAAAGTACTAGGTAATTTGCTTCTGGTTAAGGCAAACCGTGTGGCATACAGAATGCTATCTTCTTAAGACCTCGCTATATCCCAACATTGATTGCCTAAGGTTGCTTCTTCGTTCTCTGAGAATAGGCTGGCCCTGAATAGAAAGTATGAGTGGTCATTTCACTGACAAGAGACAACAACCTTTTCAGATTCGGGTTCCATCACCTATCCTAGAAGATGTAATGATTTTGTGAGATTTTTAGCCATTGTAATTGTTTGGAATTAATTCTAATCTAAGAATTCAGGGAGATTGTGGCTTTAATCTAAGACTTGACAGATTCTGTGGTGCCCATAGCACTGCACTGTGACTTCCAGATTATTAAGTACAGGTAGTCCTCCACCTACAAAATTAAGTCCAAACTTTATCTTGATAAGCAAAACTGAATTGCACCCATTTTACAACTTTTTTTTTTGCCACAAGTCATTAAGTGAAACACTGCAGTTGTTAAGTGATCATTGAGGGGCACATGACATGATTTTGTAATTTGTTAACTAACACAATTATGTTGTGTATTAATTTGACTTATTTTCTATGTTCAGGCTCATTACAGATTGTAATGTAAGAAAATTTTTATCCTAGGGTTGTATGGATTGATTAGATAGCTTTTAACTTTCAAAAACTGAAAACATAATTTACAGAAGGATGTCTGGATACTATCGTCTGGTAAGAAAACGTTTCTAAGTGTCAACTTGACATCTGGTTATCTAAATTCAAACAAGCTTTGTGGTTGATTTACTGTGCAAGGAGCGGTTACTCTTATCTTGTCCACCCAACTTTCCTCTTTCATTTTTCTTTTGTTGTATTAATTATAAAAAGGAATGTAACCTGGGGCTCAAGGTTCTCTCTCCTTTTTCATAGCAAGATCCCACTTTATCAGGGTACCCCAATAAACTGGCTTTTAAATTATCTTCCGACTTGGTTGCTTATTGGGAAGTTAAACCGAGGCAGAACCTAAGGTTAGATTTGGCTATCATCATGCAATAGTTTCTGGCTTCCCCCATTGCCTTTGCTTCTCAGAAACTGGCTGGGAAGGTTACAAATGGTGATCACACGACCCTGGGACAGTACAACTGTCATAAATAGATGCCAGTTGCCAAATGGCCAAATTTTGAACATGTGACCACAGGGATGCTGCAACGGTCGTAAATGCAAAAACCCTTCAGTCATTTTCCCCCCCTGCCATTATAACTTTGAACTGTCACTAAATCAGAGGTGGGTTTCAACGGGTTCTGACCAGTTCTGGAGAACCGGCAGCAGAAACTTTGAGTAGTTCGGAGAACCGGTAATAAAAATTCTGACTGGCCCCGCCCCCCATCTATTCTCTGCCTCCCAAGTCCCAGCTGATCGGGAGGAAATGGGGATTTTACAGTATCCTTCCCCTGGAGTGGGGTGGGAATAGAGATTTTACAGTATCCCTCCCCTGCCATGCCTACCAAGCCACACTCACCAAGCCACGCCCACCAAGCCACTAAATTAATGGTTGTAAGTCAAGGACTACCTGTATTTCATTCAAATTTGCAAGCGAAATGTGTATCATAAGTAGTACTAAAAACTCCTTTTATAAAAAAAAATATATAAAAACTTCTGATGGTATTCAAGGTTTGTTTTTTAACTATAAGTATAACTGCTGAAATGGGGGAGAACTTTTTAAAGGTGAGGTGAAGCAGCCCACTGATGACAGATATCAATCTATTTCTGTAGCTGTGACCTTTCTGCCTGAAACAGTTGTCCCTCCATGACAACTTGGATTGAAAAGAGCCCTTCCCCTTACACAGGGGATGATATCTTAGGTACTGTGAGTTGCAGTACGTAGGGAAGATTGTGTTAACTACCAGCCAGCTAAAGGAGCACATTTGATTCAGAAATAGCTCATGGGTTAGGGTTAGGGCTAAGTACTCAAATTCTAACCAGGCCAGCATAGCTGTAAATTTCAAAATTAAATCTATTTCCTCTCTTCAGAATTACAATTCCTCAGTCCCTGGATGAGGGGAAACATTGCTACAGCAAAATAAGCTTGTTCCAGTGGTGGGTTCCTCCCAGTTCGGTCTGGTTCGGCCGAGCCGGTAGCGGTGACGATATGACGTCACTGAACCGGTTCTTCCCCCCACCCTCCCAACACCCCACCCCCCACGTTATTCTTACCTTTTATTTGGTCCCACCCCCAATCTATTGCTGCCTCCTGAGTCCCAGCTGATGACTAGAGGGGAAAAAACTGTTTAAACTCTTGCCGCGGGGCTTCAAAGGGCCGTCCTACAGCTGATCAGTGTTAAAAGCAAACAAATGAGTCGGGTCGTAAATGCAAGGACTGGTCGTAAGTGTGAGGACCTTCCAGAAATGACTCTGACCAGCTAGCCACTCCCACCTAGTCACATGACCTCCAAGCCACACCCACAAAATAAGCTACGCCCGCAGACCCGGTAGTAAAAAAATTTAGAACCCACCCCTGGCTTGTTCTATAAATTAAGCCCTGCCATTTAAAGCAGTATCAACTACAACTGTTCACAAATAGCTAAAGTGCTCTAGGTCTCGGCCGTCTACAAGCTTTGGGCCAACAAGGGAGTCATACCTTAGCATCTGGTGGCCCAGCTTCCTCTCGAATCAGCAAAAGATGGCTCTGACCATCCACCATGACCTCTTTCTTGAACTGGCCCCCTGAAAAATAGAAGGCAAAGTTTTTATGCATGAATTGATTTATTAGATTTATATCAACTCTTTCCTTTGAGAGCTCAAGGCAAGAGGCATATAGCTCCCTCCTCAATTCCACTCTCTCCGCCCCCCCCCCGCAGCCCCAACCTGGAAAGGGTGGGCTGATATAAATTATCCCAAGTCACCCTCTGAGCGATTATGGCTGAGGATGAAAAGGAAGCTGGCTGTCCCCCTTTTTATTCTTTCCAACCTAATGAACTATTTGGAGGAAACCATGTAAAGAGATTCAGAACTCTATGTGCCTGCTTGCCTGCCAGCAGAAATACTCTCCCCAAAAGAACAGAATGGAACCAAACCGGAACAAAGGGGAAAAGTCAGCAAAAGAAAGATTAAGTTAAAAATTGGGCCAGAATCAGGCAAAAGATGTGAGGGGGGGGGGAATCCCTGGGAGCATCTATCTCTATGGAACTATTCCAAGCCCTCCTCCTTCCTAGTTATGTGACCCAGAGTTCTACCGCTATTAAGTGGGAAAGATTCCAGAAGTCCTGCAGGCTTTCTCTAACTTTTTACATTACATATCTAAATACAATAAATTATTTTTCTCCATTCACACAGCCCTTCTGTCCCCTTTGGGCTTGCCAGTGTTTCAGCTTTGTGAGGAAAAGAAAAACCCCAAAGGGCCGAATGAGGGCTTGGCTACAGAGAAGATGCTTCAGTTTGGGGAAGAGGGAAGGAAGGAGCTCACCTTCTGCAGGTTCAAGGCCCAAGTAGGATCCGGTTAAGTAGCGGTGAACCAGGGCTGATTTGCCACTCTTGATGGTCCCAAGGACACCCTGTGGAGGTTGAAGAGCACAAGTCATTTCAGGATGAAACTCACCGTCCTTGGCTTTCTGGAACTGTTAAGGCAGCATTTTTCTCAACTTTGATGCTCTCCATTGAGTCATTGGAGGACAACTTCCATCCAACTGCTAGCCAGCATCTAGCTATATGCTGGCTGGGAGTGACAGGAGCTGCGGTCCAATTCCAATGGGTGGTGTGAGGTGAAAGCATGGTGCTTTAGAATCTGTTGTCCTCACCACCCAGGTACTTTACTCTTCACCCCCAAATAATGGTTCATCACCAAGTCTGCAGTTCTCAAGAGTGATAATTCCCCTTATGATAGGATCCCCTGAAGAGGAGAGGCATTTTTTTTATTCTGGTCAGTGTTGTTGTTAGATTAGATATTTTTTAATTCTGCCTTTATTATTTTTATAAATAGCTCAAGGTGGTGAACATATCTCATACTCTTTCCTCTTCCTATTTTCCCCACAACAACCTTTTGAGGTGAGATAAGTGCAGAGAGAGAGCGTGGCACAAACTCACCCAGCCAGCATTCACATTAAGGCAGGATTAAAACTCAAGAAAGTTTTCTGGTTTCTATCCTGGTGCCTAAACCACTACACCAAACTGGCTGTTATTTGTTATTGATATTCACAATATTTCCATTCCCATATGCATTGTAAAGCATATTTTAATAAGCTGTGGGAACCAAGGATATTTGTGGAAAACTGTTGGAAGCCTAAGTATCAATCTTAGTGATAAGCAGCAGACCAGGAAACAGAAAGGTGAAGATGAAAAAATGCTTGCTACTCACTCACCTGCCCCCTCATTCCATCACTCTTTTCTGAGGTCAAACCAGCTCCAAAAGTACTATCATGTATCAATTACTTCAGACTTAATTACAGGTAGTCCTCAACTTACGACCACGATTGAGCTCAAATTTTCCATTGCTAAGCTAAGTTATTAAGTTCCTTGTCACAGTTGTTAAGTGAATCACTGCAGTTGTTAAATTAGTAAGGTTGTTAAGTGAATCTGGCTTCCCCATTAACTTTGCTTGTCAGAAGTTCACAAAAGGTGACCCTGGGATACTGCAACCATCATAAAAATACATGCCAGTTGCCAAGCATCCAAATTTTCATCATGTGACCATGGGGATGCTGCAAGTCATGTGAAAATAGTCAAAGGTCACTTTTTTCAGTGCTGCTATATATAACTTTGAACAGTCACTAAACGAATGGTGTGAGCTGAGGACAACCTGTATTAACATCAGTGTTAGGACAGCATTTATGTAACATTAAGAGAACCTGCATGCTAGACAGATAGATGATAGATAAAAATAGATGATAGTTAGAGACAGAGTTGGATAGATGATCAAGAGATACAGATAATATTTGTGTCACTTCCTTAGCCAAGTTTGGAGAATCTGTAGCTCACTAGATGCTTGTTGAAATACAACTCCCAGCAGTCCTCACTATTGCCCTTGTTGGCTAGGTCTTCTGGAAGTTGTAGGTCAACTTCCAAAAGGGTCACAGAGTCCTATCTGTGAATTAGCTCCATCAAGTTGACTGGTCATTTACAAAAACCTCAGAGGACAGATTCTTGTCCTGAAGAGCTGCAGTTTAAGGAATAAACATGTGGCGCCATGAGTCAGATAGAAACTAGGAACAAAGGAGAACAAACTTACCAAGCGTAGCTCAGGGATAGAGCGGCTAAGAGTCCATTCTTGGCTATTTGCCACAGCCTCTAAAAGGAAAAAAGGAAAGGAAAAAAGAGATATACATTAATAATAAATAGTTAAGTATAATTCTACAGTTCCTGCAACAGCTGTGTGAGGCAGCTGTGGCTGTTCCCACACTGCAGGTAGAAGATGCTTCAGTGTTTGTCAGCACTCACACAGCAAGATCCCAATCACCGTAAAACACAATGTTAATTTGAACTATGCTGGCTCGCAGTTCAGACTTGGGACACTACGTTCCCATCAACACCCACCCAATGAGACAGGCCATTCCCTCTTGATCTCCACACAGAGTCAAATAACATCTTCACGAGATCCTCATTTTCAGCCCCCTTAGCAGAAAAGGAAATTCAGGACCAAATACTTGATTGTGGGCTTAGTGTGATGGCAGGAATGCTAAAGAGAAACACAGCAATGGGGTCCTTCTCCTCATGTCCCATCAGCTGCTCTGCAAGGACAACTCATTCAACCCTTCAGCTCTCCCATGCACAACAGTCGGTTCTTTGTGCTACTTTCAGCCGGCCAGAAAGAACAGGAAAGGCAGCTGCGACTGGGTCCGTAACCCCCTTCCAGTGTTTTTGGGACAAGTGTCAGAGAAAAAGGATGCACTCAACAGGGCAGAAAGTGTCCTCTCAAGAAGAGGTTTGAATGCCAGGGAATGCACAAAGTGAAACTACAGGCAGGTGTTTGTGTCAATACCTTGGAAAAGCTGCTGAGAAACAAGTCTGGGTAATTACTTCATTGTTGGTGGCCAAGGTTTAGCTTTACCAATTTCCAAAGCATTCAGTTACTTGGGGGTGGAAGGAAAGATCTTTGCCAATTCTGACATTTATGCGGAGCAAGAGATGGTATGAGGAGAGATAAAGAGGCAATAGATAAATAAGCAAATCAAAGAGAAACGTTGTCATGCATAGAAGGGGGAACAAACCGGATAAATGTCTAAAATTAAGTAGATCATAGTACTACATTTGTGTCCCTTAAATTGTTTAAGCTTGAAGAGGAAGTCTCTGAGCATACATAAAATATTTTTCCTCACTAAAACAAATCTGCAGAAGGATTAGAAGTCAGACAACATAGGCTCCCAAACAGAATTTTCTTCTTCCAATATCACTCTTTTTAGAAATTACTAACAGAATGAAGGAAAAAAAGCATGCAGACATTGGTCTGCCTATCAGCACCGAACATGTAGATTTATGTTTTCTCGTCTGTCAAGGTAAGCAATTTGATTCAGATAATTCAGACGTCAAATCCTATTAGCTATAGCCAACGTGGCTAATTGTAAAAGACGTAGAAATGATAGCGTTTAGAACATCTGGAGGGCAGCAGACATTAGAGATTTAAAATACACGAACCAATGAGCAAAATTCCATCATGTAACCATGGATGCTTGCGTGCATCCATGCTCTTTTCCAGACTCATTGAAACATTTGTGCAACATGGCTCTGCTATTTGCATATTCCTGTAAGATGCCCAGCAATGGAAGAAGACCAGCCTCACCCGGCCACCTGCAGAGTTTTCTGTATGCAAAATACACTTTGAAGAGTCTACTGTAGCCACTGAGGTCATTGAAGTTCACTTCCCAGACATTTTAAAAACCAATTATCATTCTTGCCATCATTCTGTCAGTTGTAGTTATGTGCACTCTGGGCTAAGTGGTCATTTGTATTTATTTTCAGACCGCGTTGTCCTTATTTCTAAACATTAATGTGCCAAGATTTTGAGCATGCTTGGAATCGAGAAGACCACTAGCCTGAAAAATAAGCACACTGGACAATATATTGGTAATTGAAGTGTGGTGGCGCAGTGGTTAGAATGCAGTACTGCAGGCTAATTCTGCTGACTGCCAGCTGCCGGCAGTTTGGCAGTTTGATTTTGACCACTCAAGGTTGACTCAGCTTTCTCTCCTTTCAAGGTTGGTAAAATGAGGACCCAGATTGTTGTTGGGACAATAGTCTGACTCTGTAAACTGCTTAGAGAGGGCTGTAAAGCACTGTGAAGTGGTATATAAGTCTAAGTGCTATTGCTATTGTGTTGGAGAAATGGGAACAGCAGACCCGGACTGTTATCTATGTTTGTCCAAGGGTTCTATGTGAATTCTCATGAAAATGTACTGAATGCCTAAATTACAAAAGGAAAAAGTGTGATTGGCACCAAGCTGACTTGCAATCACATCCATCCTAGCTGGCAAGAACTAACTTCAATATGAGACCTGAAACAGGAGAAGTTCAAAGCAAGCCTGATCAGAAAGAAGTTGAGCTGTCAAGCAAAGGAAATCTCTTACTTGAACATAGCACTATAAACCCAAATACATGGAACGTACATCCAATACTTTCCAAATTCCTGAGGTAATCTAGTGGGTTTGGATTAAAGCTAAGACAAGTATGAGTTCACTGAATGGCTTGAATAAAAACTGAAACCTTATTCCAGCCCTGTCCGCCTTGTACAAAATATTGCTTCTAATGAGTTATTTCTGGCATTAAAATAGTTGGCTATTGTCTGTGGTCTCCTGTGAAGATGGGTTTGGTTACCGTTATATTGGACATGTGAATGTTTATGAGGGACCTACATTGACAAACCAACAACCTTAAAACCAGGATTCTGAGGGATACTTTCTGTGGGGGGACGACGACGATGTGGAAAGTTGCTATGGTAATAGAAATGACTACAAGCCAGCGCACATTCAAAACATTACCGCTTGTAGGGAATATTAGAACAATTTGTAATATATGAACCGATTATTCCCTTTTAAAACCAGTATGTCCTTACATACTGGGGTGGAGAAAGTAGGGAAAGCTTTCTTCTCCTTCAGTTTCTCTATATTTGAATCCTGGTTTTTAAGGTTCTCTGACTGAACTGCCCTTACCTTGTGCATCTGAGCATCAAGGTAAATGCAGACGGCCATACACAAAAACACAGCTAAAGCCTTTTCTTGCTCTCCCTGTGTGTTAACTTGAAACTGTTGCTTAGCAACAGCTCCCTGCATATCACCAAGGTAACCAAAGAGAAAAGGGGACAAGGAGTGCAGACCCTGCTGGTCTTTTGCTACAGAACCCCAAAGGGCATCACTTACTACTTATTCAGAAGCAATGTAACCCCCTCCAAATTTGACCTGTCTACTTAACACCCACTAGCAGGTCAAGTGTCCCTTTTTAACACCAATACCAACAACAAAAGTGCCTTTTTCTTTTACTAGCTTATTGACCCACCAAATTATTTGGCGGGCCCAGTAAAAGGAGAGTCCAATTAGGTTGTGTACCTTGTTGATTTTGGCTGATCAACAGAAAGCTAAGGAGGGTTGACTCTGGTTAGTACCTGGATGGGGCCATCCAGGGCTGTGAGCTAAAGTTAGAAGTCCGAACAACACCCTGAAATAAGGCAACTGCAAACTGCTTCCCAGTTTGGGAAACTGCATGTATGTAGCTCAACAAGAGTCAAGCTTGACTCCAAAATGACTTGACTTTGAAAAAGGATATGATAGAATGTAATTTTGCACTCGAGTTGAAGTTTCTCGCTCCTTCCGAATATGATGATAACACATATCCACACCCTTCCTTAATGTAACTTTCCTACACTTGATTGTGGATTTGTACTTTCATTATTCCTAGCCATCAGTACCATTGATCTTACTGGCTACAGTTTATGAGAGGCTAATACCTCTTGGTGCCCACAAGTTTGGAGAAAGCTGAATGTATACAGGCACTGACTGATGACAGCTTATTCTTGATCATAATTGTTTATCTGCTGGCAGCCATACCCTCCCATTTTTTGACTAGTAAAGATTTCAGCTCTACCAGCCATGTTGCTTTTCCTCTGAAAGCAAACAGTGCAATTTGGTAATCCCAATTTTAAAGCCTTGGTAGCCTTCCATTTTTAATGTTGCTTCATTTTGTTAAAATTCTTTTTTATTGAAAGTTTTACAAACTAATAAAGAGTAAAAGCAGCAAAGAAAGGAAAGGAAAGGAAAGGAAAGGAAAGGAAAGGAAAGGAAAGGAAAGGAAAGGAAGGAAGGAAGGAAGGAAGGAAGGAAGGAAGGAAGAACTGCAGAAAGAAAGAATAAAAAGAAACAGAAAAAAGCTTCTGATTTCCTTTGCAGCAAATAGAAGTGCAATTACAAAATTATCTCTTATTCTATGACAGGGGTCGGCAACCTTAAACACTCAAAGAGCCACAAAGGTCCTAACCGGAAGCCCCCATTCAATTCTGGAGCCAACCGGAAGTCCGGTTCCCCCATCATAGTCTCCTCCTAGCGCAACATCCTTTTTCCTCTGCTGACCGGAAGTCTGGTTCCCCCACCATAGAGACTCCACCTAGCACGGCATCTTTTTTCCTCTACCTGTCCTAATCGAAACCCCTATCAATTGTGGAGCTGACCAGCAACAGGGAGCTACAGCAGAGGGATGAAAGAGCCACATGAGACTCCAGAGCCGTGGGTTGCTGATCCCTGCTCTATGATTACAAAAGAGAATTCACTTTATTATCCAGATTTTTTCTAACCATCAAACCCCAAAACCATACATGCATTTTTCCCCGTTTTATCCTAAAAGTCTATAAGGGCTTTCTAGTCAGCCATAAACATAGTCATTGTTTTTCCCCCCCCTCTAATCAGAGAGGTTAATTTAGGCATCTCCACATGTTCCATCATCTTTTTAATGTTGCTTCAAACCAGTAAATTTCATTTGCATAATTCTTATTTGGTTTAAATACTTTAAAGTACCCTGTTCCTCCATTAAATACATTTCATCTTACTATACAAAAAACTACCACTCAGGCCAGGGGTGAAATGCTCCTGTTCGGACCGGCTCAGGTGAGTAGGTAGCGATGGTGGCGGGCAGTTCGGAGAACCGGTAGCAAAAATCCCTTCCCCCGCCCCCCCATGCCCAGCTGAGCCCCGTGATCATCAGAGCCTTTTTTTCTTTTTAAATGGCTCTGACCAGCCAAGCTCTGACCATCCCAGCTGAGTTGCCTCGCTTGGATCGCCAGAGCCATGTAAAAGAAAAAAAGTTTCTTT